GTACAAGAACGCCCAGCCATTAATCTCTCTCGCTGGACGCGAGATCTTCCTCTTCAACCCCCTCATCCAAGGGGGTCTGGGCAACGTCGTCTTCTCCTACTTTCACGAGATTGAAGTTCACGTCTGGGAACAGTTCTTGCGCCTTATACTTGAAGCTCATCCAGCCGTTCTCCTAGTACTGGCTCATCTCGTGCTTGTAGAAGTCTGACTGTTGAAAGCTTTGGATCACTTCTTCTTCGCTCCTACCTTCAACAGCCACTCCCGACGACTCAACACCCATTTCCCCCTCCTTTGCCAAGCTCCTAGCGACCGCGGCGTCAATGGCCATCTGGAATTCGGCGGAGCCTTTAAATTGCTCCACAGCCACCATGCATAAATCGGGGTACGCCGCCCTCTCAGATGCCAATTTGGCCCTTTCTTTTGCCAGTGCGTTCTCCAACTCTGCGATCCGTCCATCTACTTTTTCTTTGTTTTTAATCGCCTGGTCACGCAGATCTTCGTTGTTGGCAAGGGCCTCTTCCAACCTTTCCTTGGTGGTGGTGCAAGCTTCTTGGACTATGTTTAACTTCCTCTGCTCGTCCGCCAACTTGAACTCCAACGACACCGCCTTGTGGCACACCGTTTCCAGCTCTGACTTGGTCACAGCGAGCTTAGCAGCAGCATGCTCTTCCAAGTAACTCTATACTACCGCCAGGACTTCCATCTTCTTTGCCCTCTGCGCATATTTCAGCCTCTTCGTGCAGGCACTCGCGCGACTTTCCTTCAGCCCGCTGCCTCAACCCTTAGGCTTTGCAATTGTACTTTCATCCCTCCCAGCTGGGCCTTTAGCGGCTCCGCCTCTACCTTTGTTCGCGCTGCCTTATTCAGCAGGGCAACCACCAAGGTCATCACCTCCATCTGCGCTAAGCAAAACCCCCTCAAGAGGTCGGCCTCTGTGAATCGTGCCATCGGCCGCACGGCCACGTCCTCCACTACCCTAACGAGACGGTCGGCGACGACTTTGGCTTTGCCCCCTTCTTCTGCCGATCAACCGGCCACCGCGCGTACGTGGTACATAGCGGTCTTCAGCGTGGCACTCATCTCTGATTTGCTCGCCCCGCCTTTCCCTTCGCCAGGACTTGGGGACGCTTTTGGCATAGGCATCATCTTGGGTGATTGAGGTCCTAACCTCTCGCAAACTACCAGCTGCTTGGGCTTCGTCACGTTCATCACCACTTGGGCCATAGCTTCTTTCCCTCCCACCCTTGTCTCCCCTACCTCCATTTCTGGGGCTTCCTCCCCTCTCTCCTCCTTCTTCTTCTTCAAAATTGGACCCCCCCTCACTCTCCTCCGTCGCGGCCCTCTTTTTCTTCTTTTTCTTTAACACCGTATCCATCTCCTATTTGCTCCTCTCCTTCAGCGAATCCACTGGGGGCGGCAGCAGCACAAAGTTAGTCAGGTCTTTATCTCATAAAGGCTTGGGACGTGGTCTGACTTACTCCATCACCACCAACTTAGGCGCAGGACCTAACTGCGATTCCTTATACTTGTCAACCCTGTCAAATGTCTTCCACTCCTCTACTTCTTACGTCTTTCTCCTTCCCTCAAATTCTTCCAATGCAAGGTCTTCTTCGATCGGCTGCGGCCCCAAACTCAAGGAGAACAAGCCCGAGGGTCGGATCAGGTCATCCCACTTCACACCCTCCTTCTCCTTCTACTCCTTCACCCGCTTCACTCTATTTTCAACCTCTGCCTCCAGCCTTAGCTCCACCGACTTAGTGGGAACTTTCCACGAGGTGTGCATACCCCTTCCGCCATTCGCTGATACGTAGAACCACCTCGGTTTCCACCCATTCACCGACGATGGCAAACCTGCCACTAACCCTTTGCCCACCACTACCTGCAAAGTCATCCACATTTCTTGCTGACCGGAGGCCTTGTAGCATGAAAAGAACTCCTCCACTGTCATCGTCGCTTCCCTGGTCGCCTGTGGCCATGCGATCGCGCAGGCCAGTAGTATTTTCCATGCGTTGGGCATCAGCTGCCCTGGCACCACCTCCAATCGATTCAGTACTTCCACAACTATTTATGGGAGCGGCAGCCTCAGACCTTTCCACAATGCCTCTTCATACAACGTAAACTCCATCAGACATGCATTCGATGCCCTCTCCTTAGACGTGGGCAGCTTTAACTCTATCTCCGCCGGAATCTGGTACTTTCTACGTACCTCCTCCAACTCCTCGGCTGTAAACGTCGACTTATCGGCCTTGGTGTGCCAGTGGTCAGGTTCCACTTGGCTAATCAACCTTGTGGCCACGATCATGGTAGATGGACGAGCTCGCGTTACTTGCTCTAACTCTCTTTCCTCCCACCTCTCTACTCTATATTGCTCCGCCAACTCCACTGCATCGTCTTCATCCAATGCCTCTAGCCTCATGGCTAGCACTTCATCTCGAGCTATCTCTTCCACGTTTCTGCGTATTGCTTTGGACGCTGGTACAATAAAGTTCTCAAAGTATTGGAGAGGCGTGTCACCCGAAACAAATGAGTTCAACTCTAAGATGTGTTGGTTTTTCACAAAGAGTTATGCAAAACGAATTACTCCAAATGTCCACAGTTTGCCTATATTCCAAGGATCGAGATTAAATTTCGCCAGTTTGAAAATTTCGAAAGTTTCTAGCCCCGCCTTTTCCACGTCCTATATTAGTCCTAACCTTTCACTTCCTGCTAACGCATCACCTACTTTTTCACTGGATCATGTTACGTGTACAACTACGATTCACTACCCTTTTCCCCTTCCTTGTCTATTCCACTTCACATCACCACGTGCCCCGCCGCTCCTCAAGCCCCGCGCGCTGCTACCACTTCTCGCTGGGTCCCCCTTTCGCAGTCGGCCCTCATCTTGGTCGGTCTTCTTGGTCGGTCTCCCTTTCGCTGTTAGCCCTCCTCTTGGTCGGTCTTCTTGCTTGCTCAGTCCCCCTTTTGCAGTCGGCCCTCCTCTCAGTCGGTCTTCTCGCCCGGTTCCCCCATTTATCTATGCGACCGGCCCTTCTCTCACTCAACCACACACAATCCCCATCTTCCTTCTTATTCCCTTCGTTGGACTGAAGCTGCACTTGGGAACGGGGGACTACTAACATCGGTGGGCCCATAAAGGCTTTTAGCCCACCACTTAGAGCCCAATTCACGATTTAAGCACTAAAGTCCAACACCATTGAAAACCCAACATTGCACCAGGAACCAATGGCGTTTAAACACTTGTTAAGAGGAGAGCCAACCACGTAAGCAGATAAAGATCCTGCAGAGTTATTAAACCACACATCAGCCATTAATGAGGCTCCTGCAGCATTAAATGCGAGAACCCCTTCACGACGGAACGGACAGCCTCACCGTGAACAAGGCAAGCTAGAGCATAGACTTTCGGCCAACGTGACAGGTCGGAGTGAACAAGAAAATGATGGATACAGGATATAAGGAGGCTTCTAAGATAGACAAAAGGTTAAGGTCCCTATCATTATTCTCTCTCTACACACCATTAACCCCTCTCTCTTCTAACTTGATCATCGAAGGATCCGCTGGGGGACTCCCGTTCCCCGTTGGGCTTTTGTGCAGGTACTTTAGTGGGCTTAGTGATCAGACAACGGTGTTGGGAGCGTGGGTCAGCCCGACCTGTCCTCCAAGGATCAGCAGTATCATCAATTGTCACCCTTGTTTCCAAATGATCAACCGGACGACCGATATGCATAATTCAGGCGATTCGAACGAATCAAAATTCGGTGAATATACCATTGCTCATAAAAAATTTGCAATGTCTTCTATCAATCACACTACGAGAAATGATATAAATATCTTTACATTAAAATCTATATTTTCTTTTCTTTTCTTTTATTTTTTTATCAAATGTCATCTACATCTAAATACTATTTTTCGTATTTGAATAATATGTACCTGAAACCAAATAATCTTCCTTCCATTCACTCTTCTTCAACTATTTAAAGAAAATTTTCTATAAAATAATTGTTTTAAAAGTAAAGACAATTATGTAATTTTAAACTCCCTTTTAACAAGGAACAAACAATATCCTCAAATTTCAAGACATGTTATAATTTGCCATTTTTATAGTATAACTTGTAAATTTTGTTTTGTTTAAAATAACATTTTGGTGATGCTTGGGTTTTTTGGGTGAGTAACATTTTAGCCATTTAGGAAATTAGGAGTCCTGAGAGCTAATTATATCCCTTCAACAATTATTAAATATTACTGACTCTTTCAATTTTAAACGTTTAGGAACATACTTTATTTGTAACTTTTTGAGTTTTTAGTTAAAATATGATATAAAAAAAATTTGATAGGTTTAGAATGACTTTTTAATTTTTTACAAAAAGATATACAAAAAGTAGAGAGAAATTTTTTTTTTAATTTTTGAGTATAAGTTATTAACTTTTTAATTTTTTTAGTAACTTTTTAATTTATAGAGTAAAAGGTGATGTTGTCAAATGAAGCAGATCTCTTATTTAAAAAGTTACATCACTTGTAACTCTACTGTACAAGGAGGACAGTCATACCCCTTTGTATGGTAGAAAGCCATAAAAGTATAATTTTAAAATTAAGAGAGTAAAACGATATTCAATGTAATTAAAGGATCAGTGTAAACTCTTTTAATAATTATTTATTTAAAAAAGTAGTGCACGTATAAAATTATTTGACAAAAATAGTTATTTCTAAAAATTGCACTTTGAAACCATAATTTCATTTAAAATTGCGTCTCCAAATCATGATTTTACGCTGAGTTGCTAAAATGCCACATTTTGCAAGCATGATCAACTTGAAAACACAAGTTAAACCAGCAATTTAATAAAAAAGTAGGCTTCGTTTATCCATTTTGTAACTTTTACTTAAATTAATGAATTGAAACAGTAATAAAAAAAGTAGACAAATTTTAGCACAGTAAATTTTACATTGCTGTGCATTTTTGTTGTGCTAAAATAATAGAAAAACACATTACTTCATTGAAGATGCACTTGGAGATAAATTAAAGCAATCGTTGCATTTCTATCGCTGGAATCGCCATTACATGCATTACAAGTAACAACACACCACTTGTTCTGTTTGCAGGGTGAGATTATATATAAATGATCAACAACTGTTTCCTCAATTAAATTGTTAAATTACAAATTGGCCCCGGTTGCTCTAGAGATGATATACACTATATGTAAACAGAAGGAAAAAAGTACCAAGGTGGTTGAACAATGAAAAGGCAAAATCAATGCAAGATTGCTCTCAAGTACCTTTTTAAGTATTCTCTGGTGTAAGGGTATCGGAAGGAAGAGAAACAACATCGTCGATCACACCACCTCCAGAACCAGAAGTCCTCGCTAAAATAAACGTGCGGGCCACATCTACCATAAACTCCACCTCTTTCTTATACTGTGTTTCAACATTCATTTTATCAGCAACGGCTAAAGAGAGAACGGAAACAACAATATGATCATTTGGAACGAAGATTGTGTACCTCGTTAATTGCACTTGATTTAATTTTTGATTGCATCACACACCATTTCTTAAAATGAGCACCTGCGCAAGTTGCAGAAATTCACAATAATGCATACACAATATGTAACATGACCACACTGTAGCAAAGCATTATTTCATTTTGTATTAGATTCTCAATATATAATATATATTAAGAGGTCAACTAGTAAATTGGAAACATAGGGGCAGGTCAATGGGACCCCCAAAAAAATCAGAATATAACAAAATTTGCAATACCTTTATATGTGAAGAATTTAAAACCAGATGAACTAAGAAAGTCAACAACTCATTAGAGTATGATTAAGGATGGGGAAACCCATGACCGAAGTAACACAAAAGCAGAAGTATTTGAATGCTGTGAGTCGATTAATCATTCTTACATGTAAAAAATGGAGGAAGTGTGCATTTAACTAATAAACTCTATAGAGATTATTATTATTATGGTAAAAAATAAACCAAAATTAAAGAGGGGAAGGTAAAGGTATCAAATCAAGAAAATGGGAAATCTCTATCAAGAGCTTATGTTATTAGAAAATGAGCCCTAAAATATACATAAAGTTATCTAACACCCTCTCTCATGTGCAACTACATCTAGCACATGGAAAGGCAAACAGAAAATCATAGCAAATGGTGGAACAAATACAAAAATCAAGACCTTATTGTGGATCATCTTATTGTGTACCTCCAAAGTGGCAAACAAGCTACAAAGATCTCCATTAACTAGGACAAATAACCTTGACAGGCAAAATGTAATGCCAAATTCAAATATCAAGCTTGTAAATAAGTGGAATAACCCACGGCACACCAAGGGTCATGTCAGAGCAACCAAATAGGTTAAGATCTCGAATATCACTTGCCCACCCCACCGCAGCCCAACAAACACACACACAAAAAGCACATTCAAATTTCTTTGAATTCACATCTTCAATAGAAATCTATTTCCATTCCATCATGCCCATGCCCTCCCCAGTCCCATAACATTTCCAGAGAAATGCCATCCTAAACCCATCAAGACCCAAATTGTCTCCTCTCAAATATTGTAATGCATGGAGACTCCCAATAGCCAGATCTATAAACTCTTTTTATTCCTAGAACCATCACACCTCCTACTCCATCACAAATATCCTTAATCAAAACATACATTGAATATTCCTTAAATCTTACCAAATATTTCTTCTATTTATAAATACCATGTGCATGTTATCTTTTAACTTAAAACAAAAATAGCATAGCATAACAAAACAACAAGATTTAGTGTCAAGCATCTTACAATTACACAAAGTCAGTAGCTATTAAAATTACAAGTATTATTAATGCATTGATTGATGAGTAAAAATTATAAAATGGATTTTTTTATCAACAACAAAGAAGTAATATTATTAATATAGAATAAAAGTTGAAAAGGGGAAAAAAAGGAGAACAAGAAAGAAGCTATAAAAATGCACTCTCTCCCACAAACTTTTGAAATCTTCAAATTTTCCTTTAAAAATTATGGAATTCCTTTCTAACAAATAACCCAAAGACCCTTGCAAACCACAAAACTCCATAACTTTGCTTAATCATTAAATCTAAACCCTCTAAAATCAATTATCAAATGGAATTAATGGTATGACAATTATAAAAAATGGACACCTAATAGAATCTTACCTACTCTTATATCAACATTGCATGACGATTCAGAGTTTGTCCCCAAAGACCATCTACAATGAACCTGATATATCAAAGAAAAAAAAATTAGTATGGCAAAAAATGAAAGCAAAATACCGTTTCTCTGATTTCTCTAATTCTCAACACAGCGACAATAACAAACAATAGTGAGAAAATAACCAAACCAAACCAAACCTGTGAAGATTATTGTATTTTCTATTAGTTATTTTGGGTAGTTTAGTCTATTAGATTATTAGGGTTTATTTCATTTAGGTTATATATATTGTACTCAATGATTATTCAAAAATATATGAAATAGATGTTCTTTGTTATCATGGTATCAGAGCAGGTTCTGAGTCAAACCTCTAGAAGCCCTTGAGTCAACGTCTTCTTCCCTGTGATCGTCTGGTTTGATTGAAGGCTTCTAGCGACCAACAGTTCTCTCGCGAATGCCTCTGCCTGGCTTCGAGACCCGACTGCCCTGTCTCGCGCCTACCTCTTCTGTTCTGCTTCATGAATTTCGTTCGTGGTTCTCTCAGTAATTTCGGCTCCAAGTCTTCAATATCGTTCGTCATTCTTTCGTCAATCGCGACTGCCTGACTCTGCTTTGATTTCTCTCTGGTCGTTCGTGGTTCTGGTCGCTGGGATTGGAACTCTCTCCTTCGCCCTTCCTCATCGTGATCTCTGGCTCACTGTATCTCTCTGACTGGTACTACTCTCTCTCTCTTCTCTTCGCACTTCGTCATCGTGGTCTCTGGTTCAGTGTGTATCTGTGTCTGGTATGTAATGAAAAATTTTATCATGGGTAAAGGTATGTGGAACTATGTTATTGGTGTAACTACTCGACCATTAGAATCCAAAGAAACTGAGGCTGATGTTGCTAAATGGGATAAGGAAAATGCACAAATTCTTACTTGGTTTCATAATTCAGTTCAAACCACCATTGGTATGAATTTCTCCAAGTATTTTACTTCTAAACAAGTTTGGGACTATTTGAAAACTATGTACCTTGAGTCTAACTTTGCAAAACAGTATGAACTTGAGATGTCCATTCGCAGTGCTAGTCAGAAAGATAAGTCCATTCAGGAATTTTATAATGAGATGACTACTTATTGGGATCAGCTTGCTCTAATGGAACCATCAGATTTGCAGTTACTTGACAGTTATACCAAGTATCGGGAGAAGCAACGTCTTGTTCAGTTTCTTATGGCCCTTCGTGATCAGTTTGAGCCACTTCGGGGCGCTATTCTTCATCGGTCCCCCTTGCCTTCTGTTGATGGTGCTGTCCGTGAGCTTATTGCAGAAGAAACTCGCTTTAAGGTGGCTCATGGTACTCCTCATTCCCAATCAGTTTTTGCCACTCCTCCGCTCTTGCCAACCCCACCATCTTCTTTATTTCAAGTTACTGGTAAGCCCAAGCCTCGGATTTCTATGGATGAGTGCAGCTTCTGTCATCAGAAAGGCCATTGGAAACATGCTTGTCCTAAGCTGGTGCAGCCCAAAGGCCGTTCACCTGGTCCACCATCCTCTAAGTCGACATCTTCGGGATCTCGCTCATCTGCCACCTTTTCTGCACCAGTTTTTGAGAATGGTCTATCTTCCAATATGCAGTCTATGTTTGAGCAGTTCAAGTCTTTCATGGTGGCCAATCCAACTTTTTCGTCCCAGGCTTCCGCTATGACTACCACTCAATTAGGTTTGTCTGGTTCATCATCCTCAGGTAATATCCACACTTCATGGATCTTTGATTCTGGTTGTTCACATCATATGACCCCTGTTGCATCTCTCCTTAGTAATTGTGTCTCCCCTCCTTCTCCTATCACTATTGCTACTGCCAATGGTTCATCTATGCCTGTCTCCTCTATTGGTTCTATTTTCTCTTCTCATTTGTCTCTTTCTCCTGTATTTTATGTACCTCATCTCTCACTTAGTCTTATTTCTATTAGTTAATTATCTGATTCCGATTTTGATGTTGTTTTCTCTTCCTCTCATTGTGTTGTACAGGATCGAGTCTCCAAGAGGCAGATTGGGATCGGGCGTAGAGTTGGAGAACTATATATCTTGGACAGCTTACATGTTCCTTTAGATGTGTCTTCTACTGCATTGTCTTCTTTTTGTTTAAACAATAAGTCCTCTTTATTTTATATTTGGCATTCTAGGTTAGGTCATTTGTCGAGTGATCGTTTGAGGATGTTAGTTCAGTCTGGACATTTAGGCCATTTTCCCATTGTTGATATTTCAGAGTGTCGTGGTTGTAAACTGGCTAAAATGTCTGCTCTTCCATTTAATAAAAGTAGTTCTATTTCATCTTCTCCTTTTCAATTGGTTCATACTGATGTTTGGGGTCCTTCTCCTATAGTTACTAAGGGAGGTTTGCAATATTATGTATCTTTTGTGGATGATATGATCATCACAAGCTCTGATTGTAATACTATTGAGGAGGTTAAGCATCAGTTGTTTCAGGAGTTCGAGATGAAAGATTTGGGGTCTCTTTGATATTTTCTTGGTATTGAGGTTGCTACTTCTCCTACTGGGTATCTTATTTCTCAGACTAAATATGCCCGTGATATTCTTTCTCGTGCCAATCTCACTGATGATAAGATTGTCGACACTCTTCTTGAGTTGCATGCTAAGTTTTCTGCTTCTGATGGCGTTCCTCTTGAGGATCCCACTTTGTATCATGAGTTGGTTGGGTGTCTTGTTTATCTCACCGTTACTCGTCCGGATAACTCCTATGCTGTGCACATTCTCAGTCAGTTTGTTTCTGCTCCTCGCTCAACACACTGGGCTGCCTTACTCCGTACTCTGCGCTACCTGCAGGGCACTTTGTTGCAATATCTGCTGTTATCTGCCTCTTCGGACTTGACTCTCCGTGCCTATGCTGACGCTGATTGGGCCGGTGACATCTCTGATCGCAAATCCACTTCTAGTTTCTGTTTTCCTTGGTGATTCTCTCATATCTTGGAAAAGTAAGAAACAGTTTGTTGTAACTCGTTCCACTGCTGAGGCTGAGTATCGTGCCATGGTTCATGCTACTTCCGAGATAGTCTGGCTTCGCTGGCTTCTCTCTGATATGGGCATCTCTCTTTCTGATCCGACTCCGTTATATTGTGCTAATCAGAGTGCTGTTCAGATTGCTCATAATTCAGTCTTCCATGAGCGGACCAAGCATGTTGAAATCGATTGTCACTTTGTCCGACAGCATCTTCAGGCTGGCATTATTTCTCTTCCTTTTGTTCCGTCCTCTCTTCAGTTGGCCAATTTTTTTACAAAGACTCGTACTGTTGCTCGTTTTCGTTTTCTTCTTAGCAAACTTTCGATACTTTCTGCGCTCGCATCCTCAGTTTGAGGGGGGGTGTGAAGATTATTGTATTTTCTATTAGTTATTTAGGGTAGTTTAGTCTATTAGATTATTAGGGTTTATTTCATTTAGGTTATATATATTGTACTCAATGATTATTCAAAAATATATGAAATAGATGTTCTTTGTTATCAAAGCCAAGCCTTAAGTCCCATCAAATGGGATCGGCAAATAATAGTGAGAAAATATCATATAGAAATCAATATGATATTCATCTTCTTCTTCTTCTTCTTCTTCCTTTTTTTTTTCCTATTTAGTTTGGTCTATAACAATCTGACGGTCCAGCAAAGAGCATGGGCATCCGACAGTCAATTTTGGTTATCATGGTCAAATTCTACAAAACTGGGTTTGTGAAAACTAAAAATTGTAGATCATGTATCATATTTTTTATTTTCCAAATAATATATTGTGTTGTATCATGTATCACCAGGTTGAATTTAATTAAATATGTATATAAATGAAATAAAAAATGGGGCAGGTGAGGGATAAAAAAAATACATTGCATACTGCTGATCCAGACCACACAGTAATTTACATTCTTTATTTCAACCGTAGCATGGAATGCTAAAGAATGGACAAGATATTTTTTCAAATATGACCTACACTCTCATATTGAGAGAGAGAGAAGTACCAAAAACTTCTCCACAATTGCAAATTGTTGAATTATTAGCCACCATCTCATCTAAAAACTTAAGATGTTAGAGAGAGAGAGAGGGGGGGGGGACAACTTTATTATTTATATCCTCAAAAAAAATTACTAGACAAAATTCACAGCTCTATACAAATTCAAACCCGCCACCTCAAAATGAATAGTAAATAAATTGAACACCAAATAAATAAACAACTGTTGCTCATGCTTCAGTTACTTGACAAGGAGTTGTATTGAATCCTTGAAGGGCTTATTACTACACCACTATCACCATCCACTACACACCATCCACTACACCTACATCTATATAAGGAACCATTTGTAATAGACAGAATATAACATCAATATATCAATCAATAATATATCAATTTTTACAACAACTGTTGCTCATGCTTCAGTTACTTGACAAGGAGTTGTATTGAAGCCTTGAAGGGCTTATTTTTAAGAAGTTTTTCAAAACCAACATTGGGATGATGATGCACTAATCATGTTAAACGTCAACATAGCAGTTAAATAACATATGGAACACAATGCTTTTTTAGATATTGAGATAACCAATTTCCTATATTTATTTATTTATTTATTTTACTTTCTTAAAGTTTTTTGTTTATAAATAAAGAGAAGTTGTAGTTTATATTGTTGTCTCAAATTTTAACAGAACCATTGAGCAGGGAAAATACAGAAGAGATCTTACATTATATGCTTCAAAATATAACAAAAATATCCTATTTTATATCAAAGGCCATTAGTCAGGGTTGCGCTTCATTTTCATGCATGAGAAAGTAATAAAACCCGTAAACCACATATTCAAAGAATATATATATACACCCAATTTAGTCCCCATTTGATAGGGCTCTAGGAGGGGAGCGGTAGATTGGGTACAAACTTAACCTTTGGCATAATTTACACAAAGTGGCTGCCATCAGGTAATATAGACAAATAATCCACAACAAAACATATTACAGTGGAAAGAAAAATATATTATTAACAAGAGATAATAAACCACAAAGATGTCCAAGATATTGATACCTCAAAGTAAGACCCAAATGGTACATCATGCGCCTGTTGTACGGTCTCAAACACCTAATGGAGGAGAATTTAGGATGTACAGTGCATTAGTTACAGCAGCAATCTAATTTCAGAGCCAAAACAAAAAACTAGAGAAATTAATTACAAAAAAATATATTGCAGAAAACTAATCGAATTAGGACATAAAATAAGTAGTTGCACCAGCTGATTCTTATCTTGTGACAAAACAGCATGCTGCCACTCTGTCATTGCTGTATCTGGAGGGCACATAGGACTGTTACACAGGGCCCTCAATTTTATCTCTCTGACTTGGCCATCATATTCATCAGCATCATGCCACGGACCAATCTAAAATTAGCATAAAAGAAAATACAAAATATTTTAGATTAATTAGAAGCAGTTTGTAAAACAGAAATTACAGTCATCCCTAGGGTTTAAAAAATTCAGATACATCTCATGGTGGGGGTTGATCTTGGTTGATCATAGGCTATAAGTTTGTATTACTAGAGTACTGTGTTTATGTAAATCTCTGTCCTAATTTTAGAATATCAAAATATTGATTAAATCTGACAAATTGAGGTTAAAAGATTATATATATATATATAAGCATATCATTGAGTTTGAGGGGTCACTGATAATTTTAACAAATTCACTGCATCATTCGACTCTTGATGTGTAATGCTCGATAGTCCCAACACTGCTACACCACGATTGATATCGACTCGTCTTCTGATACCACTATTTAAAACCATGCACTAATCTTTAAGACTGATTTCAATCGTTGACTGTTGCAGAGGGCATGCATAAAAGGTGAAATTGTCGAAACAAAACTTTTACTATAAGCTATTTTGCGGGGTGCAAAAATTATCAACTTGCAAAAGTTTAATGAAAAAGAACAACGCTAACTACAGTAACTAGAAAGTCACAACTAAGGTCAGGACAACATATGTGGAGTTTCCAGTTAAATGTCCAACATTAAATTTTGATGTGAAAAATGAAACTACTGCACTCTTCTTGACTAGCAAGAAGAAACCAAATATCTTAATGGAGTACAAGCTGAAGATTGAAAACTTCTCAAATTGATCATCATGCGAAAACAATTTAACCAATCGAAAACATAAAATTTCAGAAGACAAATAAACATTATCAACATAAAATCTTGGTACTTACAGTAAGGTTAGTGTCCTTTCGGACTGAACGATACTCATTTATAAAATTTGAGTCATCATTCAACAATAGGTCAAAGAATTGCTCTGCTGTACTTGGGAAAACATCCTGAGGGGAATTAACATAGATAATATTAACATGAAACGAAAAGAAATTAAATACTCAAGGAGAGTGAAAAACAATTATACATACATTGTGTATACTAACTAAGGCTTCTTCTTTGACGAAGGGTTGGAACTTCACAGTCTTGGGCACGCTTTCTTCAGTAATCTTAGCCTGGCTTTTGCTGCTTCTAACAGAGCTGCTCTGTGCACGAAGAGCAGACTGCTCCTTCTCCTGTATAACAGTAAGAATAGAACAATCAAAGAAGTTTAATAGCTATTTAAATAGTTCAGGGTCAAAACTTAACAAAAGTAAAGGTAAAATGTCCAGGGCAATGACTTGCAAGCAGCCCTAACCTAATTCAAGCAGAGGAACCATAAGTATCATTTCACATAGTTCAGAAGATTACCAAATATAATTCTACTACTCATATGTACCAAATAAATGGTATATCTCATGTGTAACTAATAATAACTTGAAAGCTGATTCATGAGGATATTCATGTTTGTGCTATCACATTTGATCCTCTATGTCAAGGTTTTTGCTCAAACGTAAAACAAAAATGAAATAATGACTCACAAATCACAACCAACAAGACGTTTTTAAAAATTGAATGCAAACAATGCTAGACAATAAAAAAAAAAACGATTATAAAGTACTGGGAGCAGACCTTCTTCTCATCTTCTACCATAGTATGGAAATGCTTGGCAGCGCGTTGTAAAGCTCTTAGCGCATGATTTCTGTTCCAAAATGATGCAAACATATATCTGACTCTACCTGAAAATGGAAATAGAAAAATGTTAGCGATGTGCAGAAACTCCTTTAACAATTATTAATCTTTTTTTACCCTAAGAACAAAACAAATGTAGACCCCCTACAATTTACCTAAATAAATTTGTTTGAACTTAATGCCAAAACTACTAAATCATCTTCAACGAAATCATACAAAGATAGTTATAAATAAACACTCCCGACACGAATTCATACTACAGACACAACACAAAGGCCAAGGCCACTGCTGGTAGTGGTACCAAAATCCTTAGAGGCTTCAAGGGCCTGAGGTCACAAAGGTGGTCAAGTGTGTTCCTCATGTACAAGAGGTACAGCGTACACCGTGTCTCTTTGGCTTCACTGAGAATGTTTTGCTATGGAGACCTCAACTGACATGGCTCAAACCTCAAAGGGTGGCACCAAAATACATGGTGACAATTGATTGGTCCTCATCTCACCTCAAAAGGCTGACACGTGGTCTCCAAATCAGTGGAGATGATGACACGGCAGTGACAAGGTGAACTACATAGGAGATCTAGACACTTACACCCACATTCTGAAACTATCAATAACTAAAAAGGTCATGCTAGACACTAGCAATCGTTGGACACCACCTAACACGTGTTAGACACACATCCAAATATATCTTATTAGTTTTTTAATATTTTTTGAACCAGATACACTTCCATATTTGAGAGACACATGTCCATCACTTAGATACACATGAAAACACATCACAAGTTCGAATAAATTGTTAGTGTTTTCATGTATTTATGTAAAAAATATTTGTTAATGATTGCGTCCCAGTCGTGTCATGTCTTGATTGATTCAAAAATTGTCATTTTGACGTGACCATAAAAAGAAAGTGATGGCACTATTATATGTTGCTGTTCCACCTTACGCATCATGACATAATATCATTTTGATGTTGGGGTTTGTACAAGACACTACTCTCGAATAAAATTCTGACACAAGAAGTACTATATTATTTAAATCCACTACACAACAACAATATGGTCAAGAAATGCTTATTGCAATCCAAAACATGTTTACCTTAAATACAAGTAAAATCCATTAGCAACAACCCTTAACAGTTTTTAGACCTCAAAATTAACACTAACCATCAGGACTTCCCAACGGAGGCACACCATGGCCGCCAGCACCCATGCGAAGAATAATTGTAATGGCTGGATTAATAAATGCATGTTGGCTCCTCTTTATCTGTATAAATGAACAAAAGAATTGCAATCCACAGAACCTTCTATATTATCTAAGCCATTCTATTCAGCCAACAACATAATGATGGAATGATCACAAACAAACATAGGTGAAACTATGTACCTCATCAATATCTCCGAATGGAATAATCACCTGTCAAATGGAAACATAATGCAGATAACATGAGCACTGCCTACAAAAGGTTTCAATCATAGCATACTAAGTCCAAAAAGTCTGTCACCATCAAGCAGTAGAAATATGTGATAAACAAAAGCATTATTAAATTTAATGTACAAAACCCAGAAGACCTATTATTTTCTAATATTACTTATCAAATAAATAATTAATTGCAAAAAAAAGTACAAAAACTGAACTGTATGTGTAAGGTGCAATAAATGTACGTGTAAGGTGCAATATAAGAAACACAAAATCAAAGAGAGCATGGATCAGGGTTCTGAGAAAATACATAGCAGCCTATGGTACAACAGAATATGCCAGAGATAGAGCCAAATGGAGGAAAGTATATTAGTAGGCACCTCTAGGGGGCTAAAGATAGGGAGAGTTGAACTTATATGAAAGGATAATGAAGGAACAATGAATATCATCTTGGTCTTCCAAAATTTTAAAATGTTTTCCCAAAGGTGAACCTAACTAAGAAGCTCATAAGAATGCCATGAGTTGGGGTTCAGAGGGTTCTAGGAGATGTGCAACTCCGTTGGTATGCATCACAAAGGCCTCTACTACATGAGAAAATTGGGCAACTCCATTGGTATGCATAACAAAGCACTTCAAAAGAAAGACCAGTCAAAGATAATGCCAAATAAAATTCAGCTGCGAAAATTTCATTCCATTGTATTTGTACCTTCTTAGAAAATTATATAAAAATAACTAGATCTTTGAAACCAAGAATGACAGCTAACCTTCATTTGCTTCGAAAATACATTAGAATGGAAACAGATGTGCCATGCAGAGACATACATACGACCGTGATACAAAAAGGACCTCTCGAGTGCACATGAATAGCTATGTGCAGCAACCTGAAAAATGAAGTATTAATCAGGTCAGTAGTTATTGCAAAAGGTCATACAACTTGAATTTTTTGTATTGCCAAAATTTCAAGCTTCTACTATATGTGTGCGCGCGCACGCGTGATAGGTAAAGAAAGAAAATTTCAAACCATATATTATATAGATGGAACCAAGGTTTTAAAAAGCGGCCACAACCGTTATGTAACGGTTTTGGTGGTTACCGCCACCCGTTATGGCCGCTTTTGCAGTGTGATTGAGATTCACAGGTGTGTCGGCTGTAGCGGCTGCCGTAGCGGTCATAACGGTACCGTAACAGTCGTAACGGCCTGTTACGCACCATTACGTAACGGTCCGAACTGTTTCTTTCGAAAAAACACACAAAAAAAAAGCTAAAAATGGTGAAGAGGGATAGAGAGAAGTGGGAAGATAAAAAGAGAAGATGGAGGAGCAAGAGATAGAGAGAGAAGAGGGAAGATGAAGAACATATTATTGATTTGTTGAAACTGTAAAACCTATGTTATTCTATTCAACTGCTATCACTCAACCATTTTGTTTGTGTGTGTCTATCTATATATTGTTTGATGATAATAATAATAATAATAATAATAATAATAATAATAATAATAAGTGTAGTCATTATCTATTTGGCTATATATATATATTTAGGCTCTTATTTATTTTTTTATTTTTGTCATTGTTTATCTTATATATAATAGTTAGTGCTTGATTTTTTTGTAAAATATCTAGGAAACATAACATCTATAATTATATATTAATACATATTTTATACATGTCAATTTTTTTTGATTAGTTTATTTTATTTTTATTTACAGGTTATCCAAAAAGAGAATGAATATTCAAGTGATCCAACACCCTCCCCAAAAAAAAAATTTCTTCATAATTTATTTTTTAATTTTTATATGATTACATTGGCATGTATAATTTATTTTTTACAACTATTCAAATTAAAATTCGACCGCAACCGCTTTTCAGAACCTTGGATGGAACTCAAGTGAATACGCATGTGAAAAATATCAGTGTTAACAAAACTTGCCTCATCTGGAAGGAGATCAAATATTGTTTGCAGAGGCCCAGGTTTTTGATGAACAACTGTTAGTCCTTGTTTATCTGAAATCCTTCTTCTAGCCTTAGCTCCAGCATAACCATCCAAAGCCCTAAAAGGAGATAGTTTTATGCTAATTCAATACATTGAATGATAAAAATACAACACAATGAACAACAAAATTCCAGAATATTATAGTCCTTTTGTGTCTGTTTGGTTTGATTTTTTAAAAACTGTTTTTAGATGAGTTTTTGTTTATTTTTAATAATTTTTTAAATATTTTTATCAATTTTTTGTACTTTTTAGATGTACCTAATCAAGATGCATCTAAAAAGTAAAATAAATTGGCTAAAATATTAAAAATAAGCGAAAATTCAAACAAAAATCTGTGCACTTTTTTGTTCGGATTTTCGTTTGTTTTTAGTGAATTTTTTTTATATGTTAGTTAAATTTTTTTACTTTTTAGATGTACCTAACCTTGATGTATCTAAAATGTTAAAAAACTAAATAAATAAATAATTGACTAAAATATGAAAAAAGTTCAATGAAGACAAACGAAAGTCCGTTTAAAAGTGGTTTATGAAAATGTAAACAAAACAAAGCCTCTTGAGTATCATAAACATTATGATTCTTGATAGAAATGTTTAGACAACAGACGTTTCCACCCAGTCAATATGAAAATTGACATTCTCTGAGAAACCTCTAGCATAAATAATTCAAGGTGACGCAGAGAAATTGAACAAAATATCTGGCTATTTAATGTCAAGAAGTAAAGCTGCTTGTGTATGATATACTAGAAGATCAAAACAAAAAAAGGGACTAAACAACAGAAAAGAAATAAAGCAAAGGGCAACCTGGAAGAATTTACAGGGAATTTTATTGTAACAATGTGGAGACAAACCTGACAAACAATCAGAAACATTTCAAATTCTATAAGGAATAATATGTAAAAGATGTCATTGGCTATATAATATAGATAGACTACCTAAAAAAACAGAAAATGGGGCAGAAGGAACAAGTACCTGCCCCGATGTGCTATCCAACGGGTACCACACAGCACCAGTTTGACCTTCACTTTCAACGGGAATAGTAACTGAACCAAGAACTGCACTTTTCCAAACTATGTCCCAATCATGTATTGTCACATTAATCTGCCAATACAATTGAGAGATAAATTACTTCAAGAGACCTAAACCAAATGAGACACACACAAGAGCACATGTATATACATATGAAGTATAAAGTTTAAGAGATACACCATAAAACATTCTTGCATTTGATACAAATAAAAAATGATGTCCTGGTTCAAGCCACTACGAGAACATCCTGAGATATCCTATGACTCTGGTTTATTCAAGTGCTACAAAACCACTAACATTGCATATAGTTGAGAAAATTCAGGAACTCCTTCATTGATACAACCATCTGACATCATTCTCACCTCATTAGATATATGTGTCCAATAATTCCCATTAGATATACACTTACCAAGCATATCCATCAATTTATACACTTACCAAGCACGTCCATCAATTAAATTGTGTTATATAATTGTATGTAACACTTCCATACTTAGAAAATATGAGGAAGAAGAATTCCGAAAATATGAGGAAGAAGGAATATATTTCTGTTTATATTCAAAACTTCTTATCTTACAAGACCAAATGACACTCCTTATATAGGAGATATTACAAACATCATTATAACCCATTATATGCCACTTACATATTATATATTACCACTATCTACCACTATCATATTCTATACATGCCACCAACACCACTATCATATTATATACATTAACACAAATTTCCAGCATCCATTATATTATATGCATGTTTATTGCATAATTGGTATAAAATGATGATTGCTATCATTTTAACTCATTTGCCTATACCATGATAAACACTTGTAACCACCTTGGACTAATATCTGGCCATACACGTGCCACTAAGTCCAAGCACTCGGTCATACAACAAACTGCATCTTTATGATCTTAGCAGCCCCAAGGGTCCCATCAACTCACCAAGTGTGGCATTCGCATAGGTGCATATTTATTTTTTGGGTATGCTTCCATTGTCACATGGGTTTATATTTTAACGTAGGGATCACAGTTATGAGGTGGGGTTTATTCCCAACAAACTCATCAAGCTCAATTGTAATATTTCATGTAGTTGCAAGTTTTTTTTTGTCAAAAAGTTAATACAATATATATGATAATTTTAATAGAGCTAGTAAAATTTAAGTTTCTTAATGATTACCTTGACTAAAATTCTTAAAGCTGCCACTGATAATAATCATTTTACTCCACACATGCCATGTTCCCAACTAGGACATCAACTAAACATTAAATTATGTTCCACTGATAATAAATTATGTTCCACAATTTACCTTTAAATTTTAATAACCATGATCATAAACATTAAACTTTCAATATTCCAAGATAAATTCTCTTTCAACTTCTTCTGTGAAACACCTAAATAATCAAATAATCAATCTAAATGCACAATTGAGATTCCAAATAATCAATTTTTGATCTCCAAATATTTGAAGTGTTTTAGATGAGTTAGACCAATTTAAAGCTTCGTAGAAGCACCAGAACCTGAATTTTCTATCCTCATGAAAAATTTAAACATAAAAAATCAATGAGTCGAGTTTAAAAATATTCATGATGCTTGAACATCTTCAACAATACTCTCACATATTTGAGATGATCATGGGAAATACCTTGCTTCCTTGATCCCTCTCCAGGATGACCCAGTAAAAACAACATATACATTAAGATGTATGTGTTAAAGCAGTGATAGTGCCATTTGTGTCAACATTCTATAATTGTGGTGCCGATAGATTTGTGATGGAGAAAAAATGCACATGTTTCGACATTATAAGAATAGGACAAAACTCTGATGTAGAATCACAATATAAAAAGTAACATAGCCTTTCCTTTAGAAATCAATTGGTATTGTCCTGAACGGTAGTAGTAGTAGTAGTAGTAGTACAAACTCCGGTACATGAAAATTATACGTATGTGTAGATTATATATCAAAGAAACTACCTGGACAGGAAGCGCGTCAACAGAAAAGTTGAACTCTTCTCCCCACATGGGATTTCTTGAGCCAGGAACCATTGAACTGCAACAGAGGGGCAAAAAAAAATTTTTTTGCAGCAGAATAAAAGTGTAGTGATACCACATAAAAATTTGGCAGGTAGTCCAATCAAGTAGATGATAAAGGAAATATAATGCCATTAACAGTAACAGGACGTTAAAGAAATCACCAGAGCAAAGCAATCAGAATTGGTAAAGCAAAAAATAAAAAAACACTCCTTCAAAGTTATCTGTAGGATAAGTTGATAACCCATTTCACAATATCATACCAACAAAAAGGCAACAAATAGTATCCATTCATCATGTTTCCATTATAAGAAATGGATTATCTACTAGCTGCAATAAAAAAAACCGTAAACACAAATAAAAGAACATCACGTGATCGACTATTATCCATTTTTTGGGGTCAACAAGGGACTTGAGCCATTGACATCAAGGTTGACAAAGCAATCAGGTACCAGTCGTCCTATAACAACAGTTGTAATTGATATTCTCTATTTGATAAGCTCCATCAAAATATAAAAGCTACATTATAGGAATCATAACAAAGGATTGAACTCAATAAAAGACAAAATAGAAGGGTACACATGTACTAAATCAGAAAAATACATAAGTGGAAATCAGATCCAATTACCTGAACCGTGAACCGCTTTTCGGTACCACACTTGATGATTGCATAAGGATCTGAAGTGCCATTCAAGTTAGCACTCATAAGATTTTTGGCTGCCAACAGCTCCACCTGAAATAAAAAGCATACATTAATACTTGTCATTGAAAAGAATTTTCAAAGATGGCCCACTACATGAACGAAGAAAATTTGATGCAAGATTACCCTTCGCATAACAGTAGTACACATTTTGCGTGTAAAACAAGTAGAAAACTAACAGGCATCACACTTCAATGCCTATCTGAAATAATTTTTAAAAAAAAAACAATAACATGATTAAAACATCCAGAAATACCTTTATCCTATAAGCCGAAGTGGTTTGATGGTCTCCGTTCAGCTGGCCCATCTACAAAATAAATGCAGAACTGCATGTCAAACAAGTAAAAAATTACTCCATGAAACCACAAAATAAAATAAAAAACTACAAGGTAATGCAAATAAAGATCCAATCTATTGAGTCAAGGTATCACAGTTTCAGGAATTCAAAGACAAATAACCAGAAAATCAGATTCACCTCACAGAGAGAAAATAAAGTATCACCAATTCAAATCAAAGACAAAAAAAAAATTCAAGCAAAATTGCTGGGTATCATACCAGTCAACACCAATTCTATTTCAGAATCCACTGCTGATTAATAATGCCATTAACAAAGAAATTTTAAATAAATAACTTTATGCACATTTAGAAAATGTAAATCATCTATAAATTTCTTAGCTTTAATTACCCTGTAAAACTCAGGGATAGATTTTTTTGTTTCAGGCATTAAATTACACAGCCCATACTAGAAAGCATAGTTTTTAAGGTGTGTTTGAATGTCCCATTAAATTTGAATCGTTCAATTGCATCTTCTGTGACATTGAAGTCCTTTATTTTCTTAGATGGCTTGATTTTATGTGATGATTATTCAAAATCATTTAAGTGATGACTGCAATTTTCTTAAATAGCTTCAATCAAGATGATACGTAGAAAGGCCAATTGAGGCACTCAAATTGAGAGGACGTCCAGACACAACTTAATGTATAATAATGTATAAGTTTTTACTTATGACCAAAATCAATAGACAATGATACCCATGACTGTTTCATCAATATGAGGAATAATTTTTCACTTTCAAAGTAACTGTGTTGAGAAAGGTATTGACTCTAGTCAACGAGCGTGAACAATAACAGTGCTTTTTTCCTTTTAATACAGGCACATCATCTCTGAGGTAAGACAAGAAAAGAAAAGAGGAAAACTGCCTCATAAATCAAAACATTTGTTTCAAAAAAGCAAAACTTTGCTTCCAAACCAACTTTACTCAATAAAGCTCTCTCCTTTTGCTCTCCTTTTCTTTTCTTCTAAAAATTTAGCTTTAAAAGCAAAATTCAATTTTACCTTCAATACCAACGCAATCCAAACAATGCCTTAACATTCGATCTTCTCAGTGTTAACTAACAATTCCAACACAAATCACAGATTACTATATACAAAAAAAATCACAAAATTCAACAAAACTGATTTGATAAAAAAAAACTATATATATAGAGAAACGACCTTGTCTTTATCATCACCAGATAGAAGAGAATTATCGAATTGATTTTCAGCACCAATCTCTCCACCGCTTCCACCAACGCCAGTAGCGTAGGCGAAGAACCAGTAGGCGGCAATCACGAAAGCCGCGGCGGCGACGCTGACTTCGACCTCCCACCACGACGGCAGTAGGAAATCAAACGCCGTGTCGATCATGCCGGAATTGTTGAATTGGAATTGTTTAGCCATTGGATCAGAGAATCGGAGAATTTTCTAGGGCTTTGATTAGAGAAAGTCAGACCCTAGGGTTTGGAGTATTGAGAGTATTGGTGGAGAGAGAGAGAGTGAGAACGCGAGCATTGTGGAGAGGGAAAGTCAAATGGGGATGGTGGTTGGATGTGGAAGAAGAGACAGACGACGTTGTTGAATGCGATGTTAATTGAGAGACTGAGGAGAGAGATTGTGTGATCATTGTTGGGTTTTTAGTGACTAATTTGCCCTTGCGGTTGTTTGAAATGTTGTGTGGTTTAGGGTGAAATAAAGTGGAAGATGTGAGGCTACTCTTGCCAAAAGAATTCAAAAAGGCAATGAACTTTTGTTGTAACGCCTAGAACTTTGACACGCTGTCCCTATTTACAACAAGAAAAACAAACAAATTTATTGTTCAACTCCAAAATAAATAAATAAATAAATACAACACACTTGTAAGAAAGAATTGTTGTGCCTAAATTTATAGTTAATTTTTGTGTTTCTAATTTTTTTTTCTCAAAACAAAAATTAATTAATTGTTAATTGTAAATTTTTTATAATATTTGATAATGCATTGTTCATTTTTATTTTATTTTATAATATATAAAAATTATCTTAGTTAAGAATTAGATAAGGTAATAAATCCACCAATCGCCTAGAAAAGTTATGACTGTGTTCGCATCTACCAGTGTTCATATCTATAGATGCGAGTGCAAGCAAGAATGTTAGTTCATCAAATAAGATAGATCAGCCAATTACTTAAGGAAGCTATTATTGTGTTGCATCTATAGATACAAAACACTGTGAGTTTCACGTGCCCTTACTATATGCATAAATAACACATGACAAACCATTATTGCCTAACATGTTCGCATTTATAGATGCGAAACAGTCACTACACACTCAATTCACACCTTAAATTTGAAACTAAAAGCTCTCAACAGACTCAATTCTTCATCAACATTAAAAAATACAAAGGTATTTCATCGTGTGAACTATAGTGCCATCTCTCATGCTTTTAGTCACAATCCAACTTAACAAACGGTCTGAATTTATGTTCTCTTTTTTGAAGGAACAAATATTTGAACATATACCCTAAATCAAGTACAACTTTTGGAGCTATTTCCATACAAAGGGTATTCACTCACTCAAAAGATTGGTATCAAAATTGAATAATCACACCCAACGCATGAATTTGACCCTTTATTTATTTATTTCCATTTTACCTATGAATTCATGCAATAAATGAATTTGTGACTCTTAGCCCAATCAAATCCATCCAAGTTGCAGCCCTAGTGTCATCTTGGTAGACTTGACACTCTATTGCAACACACTTCATTCAGCCATTCCATTCGAAAAGAATTCAATTTATTCGAAAATCCACCGTGTGCCCCCTAACAACTGAGAATATACGGTAGTGGAGTGTTTTGAGAAGTTGGTAAAAAGTTAATTTTTTGACTTTTTTAGTCTATTTTTGTCTTTTTGTGAGTAAAAAATATAAGAGGTAATATGACTCAAAATGAATAAAAAGTTAAAAGTTGGCGTTTTTAGCTCTTCCCAAAAGAGCCCAGTATAATTCTGTCCCCTATTGAAAACCTTTTTGATATTTTCAAGTGTACTAAAGTATACTAAAAAATTTTAATAAAGAAAATGATAGAGGTTTGCAAAGAAGATGATGCTTTTGTGTGTACATATATATACACATGTATGTATAGTAAGGGAATAAATACATCCCACTTTATTCACCAAAAAAAAAAAAAATACATCCCACTTATTGATGATGAGAATCTACAAAGAAGATGATAAGAACCGATTCGTGTTCGTGCTATACGAAAGAAGTCAATGTTAATATTTTATGACGTTCAAGTGAGTTCATTGTAAAAGAGATATTAACAGATAAATTATATATAGAATGTGGGGATATCTCTTTTTCTAATGTTAAACTGCGTAAAATTTTTAAGTTTATAAATAATTCATAACTTAGCACAAAAAATATTACAAATTTATGGTAAAATTTATAATTTTAATTATTAATATTTATAATGTTTACTATATATTTAGAGCTGCTCAAAAGCAGCTCTAATGAGCTGTCACCGTTTAACAAAAAAAAAAAAAACAAAGGAAGGAAGGTAAAAGACAAAACAAGAGGGGAAAAAGGACAAATTAATGCCCCTTTAGAGCTCCAAATTTTGAGGTCTCACTCATTTTTGTTATTTTTTTTATTAGAAAAATGTTTGGGACCTCTAATTTAGAGGTACCACTAGTGATGTGACAGTGGGTCTCACCCACTGCCACTGTCAGTCATGTATCTTGATTTTTTATTTTTTTTCCCCTTTTCCATCTCATTAGAAGTGTATTTAGAGGTATGTTTTTAGAGGTCTCTAACATTGTTATTTTTTTTTACTGTCGTATTTGCCCTGAAACAAGTGTGTGGAATATTGATGAATGGTCAAATTCATGCCCTTTTTTTTTGGTTTGTTTTTTTGGGTGCTAATTTTGATGTCTTTCAATCCATTTTGTGAAAGCTATGTCTGGTTGATTCGAGCTGATCTGATGACACGTATGATAGAGATGTCTCCTAAACGGAAATGGGCCCAAAATAGTGTGGTCTGTAGTGATTAGTTCAAATGGCCGACGTATATATGGGATGGGACTATTTGAACCCAAAATATATCTCAGTATGTTTAATTTAAATTTATAAATTTTAATTTTTATTATATTTTAGTATAAATTTATTAATATGAACAACACATATTAAATTTTAAAATATTTTTTTTTTCTTCATGATACACCCTAATCAGTTATTCCTATTCAAATCTTTGTATTTTCTTTCTCAAGATATCAAAGTTTCTTCTTCTTCTTCTTCTTCCTCCTCCTCCTCCTCTCTCCAAAACTTTAATTCAGCCTACCAAAAGTCATCATCATCATCAACATCATTATTTTTTATTATTTTGAAACCCTAAACCTTAGAAAAAGTTTAAACAAAATCAAATAATTGATGAAAGTAATAATCAAAATAATTTTTTGAAACAACTTATCAAAAATGAGGTAAGTATTCATATAAAAAGGTTTCACAATTTTTGTAGAACACCATAAATTATTTTCTATATCGTTTTTTTGACAAAAATTAAAGGGTCAAGTAGTTAGATTAACAATAACATATTATTAGAGTTGTTCTTATTTTGTCATTTAAATAGTACATTATTTGAGAACTATTATTTCTTGTTAGTACCTGATACTTATGTGCTTATAAGTTTGGTTTTTACTTTTTCACGAGCATTCTTGTGGATATTTTATAATGTAATTTTTTTTTGTATTGAAAAGTTTTATAATGCTTATGTGAAAGTTTGATTTTTTCTGTATTTATAATGCTTATATGCTTATAAGTTTAGTTTTTTTGTCCCTCTATTTGAGAATTATTTTCTATATTGAAAAGTTTTAGAAATAATTTAGTTTTTTATAGTTTGTTTACTATTTATTATTTGGGTTTACCTTGCAAGTAATTTGATAAAAATAATAGAGTATAATGAGAATAAAATAAAATTTTAAATAATTAAATAAGATATACTTTGAAAATATTTAATGATTTTTTTTTAGTGTAAATAGAATCCCCAAACAAACGTCTAGTCATTCAAAGGCTTGGGTCTGATGTTAGAGATCAAGCCCATCTAATTTTAAAATAGGTTTATCGATCAGTTTGGCAGCTGCTAAGCCCAACAGGCTCATCCCAAGTCAGGTAAATCTGATTGGATGAATCTTTTTAAAGAAATGGGAGAGGGAAGTTGGATGAATCCACGAAGATTATATATGGATAACATCAAAATAGTAATGACAATTCAATCATAATTACAAATTTAAAATCTAAACACTACTTCAAATTTAAATTACAAACATAACCCTAACTAGGTTCAAAGAACTTGGACGTTAATAACAATTGAGAATGGCTTGGTTTGGCATAACTAAAAAAAGTAAAAAAGTCAAAAAAATCACTATCTAAGTTACACCATCTTATTTAAGTCACATCACCTCTCTACCACATTACTTCAAACCCAACCCATACCCAACCCATATTTCATAAAAAGTAAAAAAGTACACTTATTTAGTTTACCTCAAACAAATGTAAAATGTGAATTAAAAAAGTCAGCATTAATGAACAAATTATTAGATACCTTATCAAAATAAATTAATAAATACCTCAGTCTGCCTATATAAGTGCACTTATTTAAGTCATATTATCTCTTTATTTTTTTGTAAATTTTTTCATAAAATATCAAAAAGTACATTAAATAAGCAAAATCAAACAACCTCTCATTTTTAAGTAGATGACTTTCACTAGGCCTCGTTTTGGAATATACTATTTTAATCATTTTTTGATTTTTAAAAAAAAAAATACAAAAAAGTAAAAACAGTGATATAATAACTTATAGTGACTTTTTGATTAAAACAAAAGGTTGCCAAATGAAAAGTTAACATTCCATATTCAATTTGTCTACTTTACGAAGCTTTGCTTCTTATAATCAACCAGGAAGGCTGCAAATTAATCAAGTCAAGTTGAGCTTTATAGGACTCGAACTCAGCTTGTTTGTTTATCGAGTTCGATTATTTAATTCGAGCTTAGCTCGATACTCAATAATTATTATTTTTTACTATTATTTATCTTATAATTTAAACAAAGACAAACGAGATAAACTTATTTTAGCTCGAACTCGGCTAGTTTACTAAACAAGTTTAAAAATCAAGCTGGAGCTAATTTATTTATTTAACAAGCCAAGTTTGCGAATAGCTCGGTTCGTTTGCAGCACTATCATGCCTTGTTCATTTGATTGCCTAGGTCAAAAATATTATATGATGTTATCTATATGACATGCTTATAAACACTGAAAAACCACTACATTTACTAATTAATTAGTCATTTGTCTCATAATTGCTTAATAAAAGTAAGTAAGTATGCTTCACTTGTAAATTTTTTCTTGTTAGGCGATTGGTTTAGAACACTACGTAAGCAATATCAAATGGTGCTTTTAGACTACAATAATAAAAGTGAGTTAATACATATTACATGATCAATTTAGAAGATTGCATAACATACCATATAAAATGAACACCCAACATAGTGATAATATGCCACACTATTCTTATAACATTTTTACCCGCACAACTTGCACAGTCAACTTCATAAAATTGTTTCACTTTTTAAATTTGAAATTTAGGCTTATTTTAAGAAGTTAAGATTTAGTCAAAAAAAAATTAAAAGATTTACACATTTTTAAAAAAAAAATTTCAAAAAATTATTAAAAAAATCAAATTTCATAATAATCTTAAATATTATTTTGGAACAATAGAATAATAAGATAGTTTAATAGGAAAATTTGGGAAGGAAGTAAAAATATTACAAATTCACACTTAACTATTCAAAAATTATTTAAAATTATCATTTTATAATTTAAATTCATTCTACAATAAATTCCCCACTATACAAATTCAATTCTAATCACAGAATAATTAAGGAGGGGACATAAAATTATTCGGGGTAAAAATGGAAATGGAGGTGAATCTCCCGCGAATGATGAACCAATGAAAAGGATACCAACAATGCTACAGACCCCGGTACGGACGACCCCCACCGACCTTTAGTGTCACATGTCGGCCTGGGATTAACCGAAAACTTTAAAAAAAAAAAAAAAACTATATTTTTTTTGCCCAATCATGAGCCACCCCAGCACCCCAGCTGGGGTTCCAAGTCATAAGCTGGGTTCCAAGTCATTTTTCAAAGGATACAGATGGGAAAGAGGGGGTCAGAAGTTGGGGGGAGTAGAACACTGACACATGTCAAACCAAAAAGCGGGAATCATACGTGAAGGCATTTTAGGTTTATAACGTTCAGTTCTCTTTCTCTCTCTCTACTTCCTCTCTCTTTCTCTTCTCTTTATATACATACCCTTCCTTTGTCGCCGCCTTGTCTCCACACTCCCAGGTACTTCACTCTCTCTCCAAACTCCCCCTTTCTCTCTCTACAATTCTCTCGCTCCAAACACTCTCCTCTTCTTCTTCTTCTTCTTCTTCTCATTTCTCTGTAGCTCAAAATTCGTAGCTTCATTTTATTTATTTATTTATTTATTTTTGCTCTGCTCAATTTGACGCTCTTTATCAATTATCGTTTTTTCTTGTGAATTTAGAGTTCCGTCTTTTTCAAAATTTGTGTAGATGGTAACGTTGTTCTCTGATGCTTTTTTTTTGTGTGCAAATTGTTTTATATTATAGATATATGTTGATATGCAGATTAATTATTATGCAAACCTTTGTGTAATGCTCTGTACATGTTTGTTAATTTTTATTCTTTAGCTTGCTGGTTTTTTACTCTCTTAATTCTCAACACACACATACAGATACAGTCACACACAAAGAGACTTGCAAAATTCATCTCTAGATACTAATTTGATGCAGGGCAATGCATTTAATTTTGGCATGTTATTTACCAGTTCTCGGACATGTTTGCCGGGTTTCTGATGGATCACTAAATAATTACTACTTTCTTTGGAGTTGAATGGATTGACAGAAGCATAATTTTATTACTATTATTATTATTATTGTTATTATTTTTAAATTTTCATTTACTGCATGGTAAATGATACGCCCACAATTCTGGGCAAATTAAAGTTTTTTTTTTTTTAATATAATTTGCAACAACAAACCATTTTTAATTCTGTAATATGGAAAAAGTTATATAGAAATTTAAATGAAGTTTGAAATTAAGAACTGATGTATCAGTTCCCCTTTTTATCAACTGGTGGGAAGTTCTACACCCATTGTTTTTCTTGGAAGAAGGGTACGTTTTATTTTGTACTTGATTTTTCATGACAAGGAGAAAACAAATCTTAATTATAAAGACATTTCTGTTATCACGTATTTGAAATTTTGAATTGTCATCTTATATCAAATAACTAATATTTGAGCTGATGAAATCCACCCCCTCCCCCAAGCTATAAAAAAGAAAGATTACCACACCTAGAAAGATACTTCTTATGTCTACTTTGATGTTGGAGTTGTATCCATATCGTACTTGTATTATTGAATACCAGTACTCCTCGAATACTTGCAGATACATGCCTGATATTTCCTAAACGTATCCGATACTTGATGTTAATTTTGAGAAGTATCGGATACTTTTTGGACACTAGGCCATGTATCCAAACTATTATGAAATTTAGATTACAATAATTTTTTCATAATAAGCAAACCAAACCAAACCAAACCAAGTATCAAATGGGGTCCGTGATTTTTTTCATAATATTAGAGTATAATTGTTAGAACAAATGCAAGAATAATTTTTTTATAAATTTTCATTTCTTACCAAAGAAAGTAGTGAGATTAAAGTAGTCCGATACTTTATCAGATTCATGTATCCACTGAAAAGAAAGTAAACTGACTATTGGCTCTTAAATAAATATTTAATTCTTAAAGAACTGTTTTTCACCATTCTTTGAGCTCATGTATAAATTCTAAAAATTATAGTTTTTTTTTCTTCTTTTATATATATATATATGTTTATTTTATTTTTAATCCTGGCTGTACCCGTATCCTATGTTTTTGGATTTTGTTATTTTGCAGTATTTGTATCCGTATCCGTATGCATGCTTCTTCATAGCTTAGCAGGTTGAGTCTAGTTGCTAACATGAGTTGGTTGAATATGGATTTAGGCTAATTCTAGAGGAAACTTCATTTTGATCACGAGGCATTGAAAGCGTGAACCAAATTCTAAAAGGATTTCAGCATGGCTCCTACTCAACCATCAGTGGAGACTGATCTGGACAGTAAACTGCATTCATCTGCGAAAGTTGCAACCCACAATGTGAATAAGAATTTATTGGCCAAATCATCCGGGAAGAGTTTGATGTGCATAAGTAACCCTGAGGACGCTTTCATTGAATTGGAAGGTGAATTTGATGAACAAATTAATGCTCCAGAGGGTGATGATGACATCAGGGTAGCTGAAGCAGAGGACTCGGATGCAACTGATTATTCGAGCTCATTTGGTGGCACTGTATCTGGGACAGAGAATTGCTCTGGATCGAGTGACGCTGAAGTTGAGTCATGCTTCTACGGTGATGAAGGTTTCGGATTTGATGGTTTTAGCAGTGTTTTTCGAATGAGGTGTGTTTTTTTATTCATATGCATAATCTAGTTTGTTTTTAGTTTCCACCAAGGGAGATATCATGTTAAAATTCACCTACTACACACCTACCACTACCACCTACTACACACTCACCTACTTCACCTACTCTCCACCTACTCCTCACCTACTCCATACCTACTACACACTCACCTATTCTCTTCCCACATCCTCTCTTCTATATATAGGAATCATTGTAATATATCAATATGAATTAATAATACAATCATATATACAATTCTCTATTTCTCTTTATACATTGATTTCTTACAGTGCAACTATTAGGATTTTATAGGAAGCCCAAATAATACATATGACCGAAATAATTTGTGGAAAGTAATATAACATTTTGCGTTACTATCAAATTATCAATGGAAAATTAAAAGAATGAAAAGAATAGTATTGGCTTACCTTTGAATGAGGTACAGCCATGTATATATAATGAATTAATATTACAAACTAGGAAACAAAATAATTAAGGCACTAAATCCGTGATTTATACAATCATGGATTTTATACAAACTACTATAAATATAATATCCTTATTTCCTAAATTCAACACTCCCCCTAAAGCTAGCGTGAAGACATTCAACAAACATAGCTTAGCAATGGATGACTAGAGCAATGTTGGACCCACAGACTTCGTGAACATATCCGCTAATTGCTCAGATGAAGAGACAAAGGATGGACTCACAATACTAGTCTGAACCTTTTCTCGAATAAAATGTATATCAACCTCGATGTGCTTGCTATGCTCATGGAGTACCCAATCAGAAGATAACATAATCGTGGATTTGTTGTCACAAAGCAAAGAGGAAGAAGTAGTCTCAAATCCCAACTCTGCCAAAATGGAGTGAAGCCATAGAATTTCACATGTTCCCTGTGTCATAGCCCGATACTCAGACTCTGCAGAGTATCTAGAAACAACTGCTTGCTTCTTACTTTTCTATGATATAAGATGATCACCATAGAAAGTATAAAAGCCAGAAGTGGAACGCCTATCTGTTCTAGATCCTGCATAATCAGCATCAGTGAAACAAGAGAGCTTGGATTAAGAACCAGCTATAAAGAATAATCGCAAACTTGCAGAAGTCTTCAAATACATCAAAATGTGATGAACAACATCAAGATGTTCTGTACAAGGTGCATGCATAAACTGACTCACAATACTAACCACAAATGTCAAGTCCAGTCTAGTGTTGGTCAAATAAATGAGATGGCCAACAAAACGCTGATACATGCTCGGGTTCTCCAACAACTCGCCAAACTCTGATGTGAGCTTGATATTAGGTTTACACCTTAACATACCAGTATCCTGAAATAGCAACAACTCGCTAGACTCTGATGTGGGCTTGATATTAGGTTTACACCTTAACATACCAGTATCCTGAAATAGCAACAACTCGCTAGACTCTGATGTGGGCTTGATATTAGGTTTACACCTTAACATACCAGTATCCTGAAATAGCAACAACTCGCTAGACTCTGATGTGGGCTTGATATTAGGTTTACACCTTAACATACCAGTATCCTGAAATAGCAACAACTCGCTAGACTCTGATGTGGGCTTGATATTAGGTTTACACCTTAACATACCAGTATCCTGAAATAGCAACAACTCGCTAGACTCTGATGTGGGCTTGATATTAGGTTTACACCTTAACATACCAGTATCCTGAAATAGCAACAACTCGCTAGACTCTGATGTGGGCTTGATATTAGGTTTACACCTTAACATACCAGTATCCTGAAATAGCAACAACTCGCTAGACTCTGATGTGGGCTTGATATTAGGTTTACACCTTAACATACCAGTATCGACATTGATTCCGGTTAGTTTCTACAAGGGTCCAGCAAGACTCCGTAAACTGTCACAACAACTGTCACAACATTGTCTGTTACAACGGTCTGACATGACCCCATAAACTGTCTTCTACATCGGTCTGACACCGCCATCCAGTGTCCTCTACACCGTTATGTCACCACCATACAGTGTCCTCTACAATGTTATGACACCCCCATACAGTGTCCTCTACAACGTTATGACACCACCATCCAGTGTCTTCACCAATGGTCTGACACGACCATACAGTGTCTCCTATCCTCTTTTATTTTTATGTATTTTCTTGTTTTGTTACTCTCTCCAAACTCAAGTTGGTTAGTTCCTATCCCCCTTGAGTTTGCGGGGGGCTGTTAAAATTCACCTACTACACACCTACCACTACCACCTACTACACACTCACCTACTTCACCTACTCTCCACCTACTCCTCACCTACTCCATACCTACTACACACTCACCTATTCTCTTCCCACATCCTCTCTTCTATATATAGGAATCATTGTAATATATCAAATAGACATCAATCAATAATACAATCATTTCTCTTCAACAAGGGCGGCTTTCCGGCGGAGGAAACCTGCAACAGATTCGAAATCTGAAACGCCGACAACGACGAAAGTGGCTTGCTGTCGGTGTCTCCCGTTAAAGACGACATGAACGAGGTGGTGGCGCCGGAAATCGCCGGCGAATACGAGGAGAAATTAATCGATTTCGACGCCGAGTCTTTCCGATCAATAACCCCATTTGTCACGATCATGAGGTGGTCGTGCTGAGATTGAAGATGGTGGTGGTGAGAATTTGGGTGAGGAACAGCGAGAGGGACTTGTTGGATTGGTCTCGGGCAATAGATTTAAGAAACCCTGGCTGTTAGATGGTAGTGCACAATTAGTTGTATTTCCAAAAACAGCAGTCATAGATTCATTTAATTGCATAAATTAGATTTTAATGTAAGTTTACATGCACCTCATAGAAGTCTTCTAGCTCACGGCATCTCTGGACAAGTCAGTTGGATTAAATGACAATTTGCATGCAGTAAATTTAACATAAGTTTATATGCACCTCAGAAAAGTCTTTGGGTTAATCATATTTGAATATCTCACAATTAATCATTAAGCGGGAAATCGTAATTTTCTAAATAAGTCCTTTTATGTATTACATTTTCATGGAAGTTGATACTTATGACGTTATCAGTGAATCATAATGCTTGAAATAAAAGTTTCGTCATTATTTTGTAAAGTAACCAAATCAAAAAAAAGTTGCATGAAGGTATTATGTTTTGCAGTTGAGATCTTGATTCTCTTCTCCAATAATTTGAATTTTTGTCATTTTTAGTTAATCATAATGCTTGATATTAAAGTTATATCATTATTTTGTGAAGCAACATTATCAATACAAAGTTGCATGAAGGGATAACGTTTTGAAGTTAAGATCTACATCCTCTGCTCCACTATTTTGAACTTTGGCTGGATTCGGATCAATGTCTTAATTATTTTGTGTCTGCTTATGTTCTTTTTTTGTTGTTATGTATTGACTGCAATACCTTGGTCCTGTAAAGTGGCTGAGAGCCTGAGACCATGTTTTGAATACTTCAAACTTTTACATGAAGAAGTTACATTTTGAAGCTGAGAACTACAAACGCTGCTGCCCCAATATTTTATCTTCTTTACTCCTGAACCTTATGGTTGCCTCCTTCAAAATGGTGACTCACAGCTTGGATGTCCTGAAAAGCCTTGGGCCTTTAAAGTCACCAAGACCATTTTTTGAATGCTTCAACTGTATGAGCTCATCTAGTGTGATCTAGGATATGGCGTACAAAGGATAGATATCAATGTCATCAATCTAGCTAATATAGTGGGATCCCTTCTGTGTGCAAATCATTTCATATGTAATTTCACCATTGTCTGGGTGAAGAAAGGCCAAATGATTGATATCGAACACCAGAAATTCAATTTTTTCCCTAGCAATGACAGACAAGAATGTTATGCATTTGAATTTATAAACATCACTTACTCGTCCTTGGCTTCCTACATGATTCACACCAAGGTTGCATTATACATTCTAACTATCCATGGTTCACATTTTTCAGGAAGAAGAAGTTGACGGCTCATTGGAAGAGCTTTATACGTCCTTTGATGTGGCGGTGCAAATGGACAGAATTGAAAATTAAGGAATTTCAATCACAGGCATCAAAGTATTCAAGAGAGCTTGCAGCATATGATCAGAGAAAACAGTTGGAATTAGATCAGTTCACATTAGAAAATTTAGGTTCAAAATCGTTGCCATTTACTTTTCAAAGTCATGGAAAAAAGGTCATGAAGAGGAGGAAAAGAAAAAGAGTTGAAGATACAACTGATATAGCATCATATATTTCACAACACAACCTTTTCTCCTATGGTGGTACAATTTTCTTCTGTATACTTGTGCATTAGATTTATGTGGATTTGATCTTTCTCCTCCAACTGTTGTTTTGTGACTCTAGCATGTGATATATGGCAGAAAATAAGAAGTCTGACCCAGATGGTACTTTTGTAGCTGAAGAATCTGGTAATCCAGGTAAAAGTTTCTACTGTACTTCGATTCTATTGTCATCTTGTATGACACGAGTTACTTGAGAATTGCAGAAAGCATCTAGGTGTATATTGTTTTTTTTTGCACAAATTAAAATTTTGTATTGCGAAAATTCCATGTGAATGATTGAAGCTGGATCTGAATGATTGGGGCTGGGGATTAAGATTGGATGTGGACTTAACCATTACATAATTTATGCAATGTGGCTCCTTTCATTCTCAAATTTGATGTACTTTAAAATACTTCTATGTTAGCTTTGATTACCATTAAGAATGGAACAACTATAGACTATTAAGAGTCCTTTATTTTTTCACTTCGAAAATATGTTGTTTCAACATTTGCCATTCTTGCTGGTTTATATTTTCTTTCCGTTAGCCATTCTAAAGTTTGAAGTATGCCATATGAGGATGTGGAAAGCAAAATGGAATGTCCAATTCTTATTTGACATGCAAGTGATGGATGTTTTCACTCATAAATGATATTTGTAAAGGTTCAAAATAGTTTTGTAAGATCAAGTCTAGTCTTGCGTTTACTTTCTTCCCTATGTTTCATTCAAAAGAAAGTATGTTACAGAAATGGCATGTGCTTAGTTGTCAACAATTATGAGTAATCGAGTGCTACTGTATGTCTCATGTGATCAACCCCTGGCTATCAAGTAAAAGGAATTTTTCATAAAATGGCTGAGAGGTTTACATATAAAAATGACATGATAAAACGATCGTACAAGAGGAAGTGATTTAAACAATGATATTGAGAATGATGAGTGAGGAGGTGAGGAATAGGTGTGCAGATAAATGCATATTAAAGAGGTTAGAGGTATATGAGAGATAGCTGCTAATAAGCCGGCAGCTTATGCTTTCAGGGCGACTAATTGCTCAACATAGGACAATTGTGAAGAATCCTAAAACCTCTGATATGAAATCTATGTAGTGCTGAAGAGTCTTTCAAGGCTTACTTGTTTTTTCATTCTTTTGGTGGGCTAAAAGCCGGTGACACTTGTAGGATTTAGGGTTTATAATGTAGTAATAAGCATTAGAGTATGAAGGCTTAATAAGCAATGCTAGGATGGTAAAACATTAATTGCAAAAACAGTAATAAGTTTTTTTTCCACCTTTTACTGGACTAGAAATAAATGATCGAAGGATGAGAGGGCTTGGAGTTGCAAATGAGGAATTCTTAGGGTGGATTAATTACTAACTAGTTCTGTTATGAATATTAAAATGTTTGTAGGGTATAGAGAATCGGAGAAAAGAAGAAGATTCCAGTAACTTTTATATTTCCTTAGGTGTCACACCAGTGGACAAGATTGCATCACACAATTCACAAGAAGCATAATAATAGGAAATTTTCCTTTGATTAGTTTAATGCTGGCTTCCGATTTTTTTTAATTCTACTAGTATTTGTACTTCATGTTTTGAAACTAAAATACATTGATTACTGGAACCTAGACAAACCTACTATGATCCACAAATAAGAACTTAACACCACAAGTTGGCCTCATGACCCACTATGGAACACAATCACGGCCTATCCCCAACAAATTTTGGAATTACTAATATGTCCTTGGGACTTGCTATGGCTAAAACTAGCTAATACAAGGTCCTGCGTGTCCTGTCTTATCTCTTCTTAAATTTGCTTCCTTGAATTATTTACAAGACTACAACACATTATTTAGTTTTTTATTTTTTTTATTTTTGCAATTATATTCTTTTGTATACTATAAGTGTGTGTTGCTGGCTTGACTTGTGGCCTTGTGTATGCTTATATTTTTTGATAAGAATTTTTTTGAACGCACATAAGAGATTAGATGTTTGATGGTTTAATTAGGTGCCAGATGACATATTATGTGTGCCCGAGTGATGGACACCAAGTGTCTGAAAAGCATATGGTTCTAATTTTTTGTTAAAAATAATAGGTTAGACAAATTGGATGCGTGTCTAACACCGGTTGGGAGTGGCCGGTGAGTGTTGATATCTTACATGTGTCCGATTCGGACACAACACAATCTTAGAAGTGTCTTTGCTTCTTAGACATATCTATAATCGTCTTCCTTTCTTGATTGCTGATGGCTCAGATGTAAATGTGTGTGTTGTTCACTGTTTAGGCTTGGGAGTCCATAGCAGAGATGAGAAATTAGATTGGGATATGATGGGAAAATTTTCTTACATTTATTACCATATTGTTCTTAAGATATTTGGCCCATTTCCTTAACTTGATTTTAAAAGCCGTCAGCTCTGTCTATGGTTGCTCTCTCTCTCTCTCTCTCTTTTTATATATTTATTTTTAGAAGTTTTTTCTCTTTCACTTCAGATGCATCCTTGGGGAGTATCAACTGTTGGCTACCTAATATGTAGTAGGATTAGGATGATTCCAAAGGAGTATTTATTGTGTAAACAAAAACTCGAATTGTTTCTGTTAGCTCCAACTCACATGCATGCAGAGGAGAGAGTCCAAGGAGGATGGCGTACGAAGACTTACACCACAAGTGAAAGAAGTCTAAGCTGGGCATCTCTCCCTTCTCTTCACGTTCTTGCCATTGTTGACTCTCACCAATTAAAAAAAAAAGGTATAAATTTTGGGTGGGTTTGTATCTCTCTCTCTCTCTCTCTTTCTTTGTGTATAAATAGAGACTGGAGGGAGAGGGTGAATGGTATCATCAGAAATTTGAGAGACATAGAGCTGTGAGTTGAGTGAGAGTATTTCTCCTCCTCTGTTTTTATATTGCTCTGTTTTAGTGAAATTCTCGTTTCTATTCTGTGGACGTAGGCATTGGGCCGAACCACGTAAATATTTGTGTCTTGGTTGTGTGTGTGATTGTTTGTTGTTTATTTTCTGGGTATCCATCATCCTAACAAGTGGTATTAGAGCCTGGTTGTGTGTTTTTTTGGAAAAATAGAGTGCGATTTTCAGAATTGCCCAAAAATCAAAGTGGTCAAAACCCCCTTTTGATCACACCAAGTGAAAGCTCTCGACGAGACGAGCACACTGAAAAAAACCACGTCGAAAAATGACACCAGACAAAGCCGTATTCGACTCGTGCGCCATGACGCCGTTTTCACGCACCGGCTACTGACCTTATGCGCGAGACCAAGGAAGAAGACGCTTTGACGTTAACAGTGACAACATCATGCTGACACCATCGATCCGACCCGTGAACCGACCCGTTGACCTAGCAGTTGGCTGAAGCCATTGACCAAAGCCGAACCTCTTTGACCGAGCCGATGACCAAGCCGCCGTCCAAGTCGTTGACCAAGCCGCGTCGCTAGCCGTCAAGCCAATGACATCATCCTGACGCCAGCCAAGCATGAGAAATGATCCGGTGCTTCTCAGTCGCTCCAGGGCTTGCCGATCTAAATCGTTCAACCTATTTTGGCTTGATCTGAGTCATTATAAGTCCGTTTTTGATGATCCAATAGTGCTTTCCAATTATTTGGAATATTCCGAACACATCCGTACGGTCAAGTTTTGCGAATCAGATTTCAAAAATTTGCAGTTTTTATTTTGGCAATCCAAAGTGCTTTTCCGGCTGATTTGACTAGTTCGGACTTAACAACGAAGCCTAATTTTGAGACAGAGATCATTTTCTGTAGAGACAAGTGTTGATGGAGGAATCAACGTCGACTTCGAAATCTATGATCAAGCTGACTGCTTCCAACTATGCAATCTAGAAGCCCAGAATGGAGGATGTCCTATATTGCCGAGATTTGTGACCCCATTAAGCTTAATGGAGTCAAACCAGCAACAGAAAACGACGAAGACTAGAAGTGGAAGAATTGAAAAACCATTGGCCAGATCAGACAATAGATCTATCACAGTGTCTTCTACTATGTCACCTAGGAGACTGATGCCTATGCTCTCTGGATGAAGTTAGAAGGCATGTACCAGTCAAAGAGTGCTCGGAACAAAGCCCTTCTAATGAGAAGACTTGTAAATTTGAAGCTGAAAGGCGGTATCTCTGTTGCTAAACACACCAGTGAGTTTCAAAATCTAGTGAACCAGCTGACAACTGTCAAAATGGAGTTAGATGATGAGATGCAAGCCCTATTGCTGCTTAGTTCTTTGCCAAACAGTTGGGAGACGTTGGTACTGTCCCTCAGCAACTCTGTACCTGAAGAAAAACTGACTATGAGCATGGTTATAGATGCTCTATTCAGTGAAGAGGCAAGAAAGAAAGACATGGGTGGAAATCAGTCCCATGCCCTCGTTACAGAAAATAGAGACAGAGGTGGAGGCAAAGGCAGAAGTAGAGGAAGAAGCAAAAGCAGAGGACGCATCAGAAGATCTCAAGACAGAGGGAAGTCCAGAGATTGTAGAAGTCGGCCGAAGTTCAAGTGTTACCACTGTGGCCAGGAGGGTCACATTATGAAATATTGTTATGCCTTGAAAGGAGAACAAAAACAAGGCAATAGACAGCCAAAGACTGAAGATGGGAACACTGCAGTTACAGTTTCAAAGGATATTGCATTATTCTCTATTGAAGAAGAAGAATGTCTCCATATCTCAGACAATGACACCGAGTGGGTGGTAGATACAGCCGCTTCTTATCATGCCACACCTCGTAAGGAGTTCTTTAGTACATACCAAGCTGGTGATTTTGGTACAGTGAAGATGGCCAACTCCAGTTTTTTGAAGATTGTAGAGATCGGCGATGTTCGCCTCCAAACCAAAGTTGGGTGCACGATGGTGTTGAAAGATGTCAGGCATGTTCCCGATTTACGCCTGAATCCTATCTTAGGGATAGCCTTAGATCGACAAGGCTGTGAGAACTACTTCGGCAAAGGCATGTGGAAATTGAAGAAGGGATTTCTGGTGGTAGCCAAAGGACAAGCAACTGGTACGTTGTACAAGACTCATGTGGAGATAAATTCAAATGGCCTCAACACAGCAAAAGATGAGGCATCACCAAATTTGTGGCACAAAAGGCTGGGTCACATGAGTGAAAAAGGGTTGCAGATTTTGACAAAGAAGTCTCTTATTCCCTTTTGCCAAAGATGCAAAATTGAATCCTTGTGACACCTGCTTATTTGGGAAGCATCATAGAGTCGCTTTCCATTCATCATCCAGAAGACAATCAGAGTTGTTGAGCAGAGTATACTCTGATGTATGCAGTCCCATAGAAGTGGAATCTTTGGGTGGTAGAAAATATTTCCTGACGTTTATTGATGACGCATCACTTAAAGTATGGGTTTATGTCATAAAGACCAAAGCTGAGGTGTTCCAGCATTTTCAGACATTCCATGTTATGGTGGAAAGGGAGACCGGAAAGAAGTTGAAGTGTCTGCGAACAGACAATGGAGGCGAGTACACGTCATAGGAGTTTGAAGCCTATTGTGCTACTTGTGGCATCCGACATGAGAAGACTGTTCCTGGAACCCCACAACACAATGGTGTAGCCGAGAGAATGAGCCGGACTATTGTAGAGAAGGTCAGATGTATGCTTAAAATGGCAAAGCTGCTAAAACCATTTTGGAGAGAAACTGTTCGTGTTGCTTGCTATCTGATTAACAGATCGCCATCCATTTCACTGAATTTTTAGATTCCAGAAAAAGTATGGTCTAGAAGAGAGATCTCTTACTCTCACTTGAGAGTGTTTGGGTGCAAAGCATTTGCACATGTATCCAAGGACCACAAACAGAAGCTAAATGATAAAGCCACTCCATGCATTTTTATTGGCTATGGAGATGAAGAATTTGGATATAGATTGTGGGATCTGAAAAACAAGAAGGTCATTTGAAGCCAAGATGTGGTATTTCAAGAAGGCTAGACCTTAGAAGACTTTGGGCAACTAGCCAAACCCAAAGTTGATGATGTTTCAGAAATTATTCCTAATCTTACACCATCACAGAATGCTACCAACAAAGAAGAGCTGCCACAACATGAAACCAATGATGTAGAGTTGTAGGATGGTTTTCTAGAAGAAGAAGATCTAGAAGAAGAGGGTGTTGAGTAGGGGGAGCCACAACCCCCTCTGCCAGAGACTGTTGGTCCACAGTTACGAAGATCAACAAAAGAACCTAAGCCATCATCAAAAATACCCTGCTTCTGAGTCTATTTTGCTTACTGATAAAGGGGAGCTAGAAAGTTTTCAAGAAGCTCAGAATCATAAGGAGAAGAGTAGCTGCCAGTAAGCTATGCAAGAAGAGATGCAGTCCTTGCAGAAAAATCAGACTTATGATTTGGTAAAATTTCCCTAGGGTCGAAAAGCATTGAAGAACAAATGGGTGTTCAAACTGAAGAAAGATGGCAACGAAAAGCTAGTCAAGTATAAGGCTCGATTGGTTGTCAAAGGTTTTGGACAGAAAAAAGGTATTGATTTTGATGAAATCTTCTCGCCAATTGTGAAATTGACATCCATTCGAGTAGTTTTGGGACTAGTGGCCAATTTGAATTTGGAACTCGAATAGATGGATGTGAAGACGGCATTTCTCCATGGTAATCTAAAGGAAGAAATTTATATGGGGTAGCTAGAAGGTTTTGAAATAAAAAGAAAAGAAAACTTAGTGTGCAGATTGAAGAAGAGTCTCTACGGCCTCAAATAAGCGCCAAGACAGTAATACAAGAAGTTTGACTCATTCATGGTGGGCCATGAGTACAAGAGAACTGCTGTAGACCAGTGTGTATATGTTAGGAAATTTCCCGGTGGAAACTTTATCATACTCCTGCTCTATGTTGATGACACGTTGATTGTTGGACAGGATGCCACCATAATCAAATCACTGAAGAAGGAGTTATCACAGTCCTTTGACATGAAGGACCTAGGCCCTACACAACAAATTTTGGATATGAAAATTATGCGTGACAGGGAAGCCAAGAAGTAGTGGTTGTCACAGGAGCAGTACGTTGAACGGGTGATTGAGAAGTTGAACATGAAAGATGCCAAGCCAGTCCGTACTCCGCTGGCTAATCATTTCAAGCTGAGCAAGAGTTCTTGTCCTTCTTCTACAAAAGAAAGAGAAGAGATGGAGGCTATTCCTACTCATCCGCCGTAGGGAGTTTAATATATGCAATGGTGTCCACCCGACTAGATATTGCTCATGTTGTTGGAGTAGTAAGCAGATTCCTTTCTAATCCAAGGAAAGAGCATTGGGAAGCAATCAAGTGGATTCTAAGGTACCTTAAGCGTGCATCCAAAATGTGTCTGTGCTTTGGAGGAGCAAAACCAATCTTGGAAGGCTATACGGATTCAGATATGGCGGGAGATCTTGATGGTAGGAAATTTACATCAGGATTTATGTTCACTTTTGCGGGGAAAGGGGCTGTGTCTTGGCAGTCCAAGCTGCAGAAGTGTGTTGCTTTATCCACAACCGAGGCAGAGTACATTGCCGCAGTAGAAGTTGGGAAAGAGATGTGGTTGAAGCGGTTTCTCCAAGAGTTTGGATTAAAGCAAAAAAAGTTCACTGTACATTGTGATAGCCAGCGTGCTATAGACCTAAACAAGAATTCTATGTCCCATTCTCGCACAAAACACATTGATGTTCGGTATCATTGGATACACGAAGTGATGGAAAAGCAGTTATTGGAACTGATCAAGATCCATACAGAGAAGAATCCAGCCACCATGCTTACAAAGGTGGTCTCGAGAGGCAAACTTGAAATTTGCAGAGACATTGCCGGGGTGGACTTCAAGTGAGAAATCAGTCATGCATGTGGGTATGGAGGGGGAGAATTGTTAGCCCCAACTCATATGCATGCAGAGGAGAGAGTCCAAGGAGGATGGCGTATGAAGACTTCCACCACAAGTGAAGGAAGTCTGAGCTAGGTATCTCTCCCTTCTCTTCATGTTCTTGCCATTGTTTACTCTCACCAATAAAAAAAAAAAGGTAGAAATTTTGGGTGGGTTTGTATCTCTTTCTCTCTTTGTGTGTATAAATAGAGACGGGAGGGAGAGGGTGAATGGTATCATCAGAAATTTGAGAGATATAGAGCTCTGAGTTGAGTGAGTATTTCTCCTCCTCTGTTTTTGTATTGCTCTGTTTTAGTGAAATTCTCATTTCTGTTCCGTGGTCGTAGGAGGCCGAACCACGTAAATATTTGTGTCTTGGTTGTGTGTGTCATTGTTTGTTGTTTATTTTCTAGGTGTCAATCAGCCTAACTCCTACCTTTTTCTTCATGCACTTCCCTATATCTATTTGGTTGGGATTGCTTTGTAGATATGGAATAACCAGATGCTTTCCATGTAGTCAACTATTTATGCACTTAGTGTATGAGTGGTTGGAGTTCCTAAGTTGTATACTTCAAACCAACTATGTGGTTAATTGTATGGAACTTGTTTTGTAAAACAAGAAATGGAAAAAAATGCTATTGTCTGGATTAATTGGATACCAAGTTGATGTTTTGAATGACAAATTTCCCTCTCACATTTCTTTTTTACTTACAATTGTAAAACAGCATCATAGTTTTGAAATTTTCTTTTATGCAGTGCAGGACTGGATTGGTAATTTTTTGAATATATCTTTGGTTTTAGTTTTTGCATAGAATCCAATCAAGGTGGTTGTTGTATCTGGCTAAGTTTTGTTTCTAATTGATATCTTGTATCTGATTGTATATTTCATAGTTAGAAAAAAGTTTATCCGTTATTAACATTTATTCTTTTGTGTCTTACTACCTAATACTTCATTGAGAAGTTATAATAATTGTACAAATACCTAATGATACCATGCTAATGCTTTATGATCTAGACTGCCAGCATTTTGAATATCTTATACTATCAAGCACTGATAGTAACTGCTAATTTTTAATTTTTGGTTGTTGTGGGGGAGTGTTTGCAGAACACAATACCACTGGTCATGACAAATTTGGTATTCATGACGATTGTTCATTTCGCGAATCCAAAGATATTAATGACTCTGTAGAGGAAATCGTTCAAAAGATTGAAACGATGCACTGTCATGTTCAGAGACTGAAGTCTCGACTTGTCGTGGTGATTGCTGAAAATGGCATGAAGTTCTCTTCCTCTGAGAATCTGAGCCATCTTGTGCCCTGTGATGGACAGACTAGCTCTCCTCGCAGTCCTACTTTCTCTGCTGGCAATGGAGACACAACATCATTAGGAGCTTTGTATAATCCAAATCAGCAAATGTCAGAATATGATTTTGGAGATTTTGTTATGCCTGAAATCATGGTGTCAAGTTATGGAGAGGCTAGTTCTGTTCCGGATATTATTGAAAGCACAGTTAGTCTGTTGTCCTCAGCTGATGTCACCGTGCATCAGCCACAGATCGGAGATTCGAGTGAAGCTGTAAGCAATCTTTATGAAATCAATTATTTATTTTTATTCATCTTTATAACCTTCAATCTTGTGATAACTATTAAACAATGATTTATTTATTACCTCCCCTCCACTTGCATACTGGATTTCTTCTTGAGCTATTGCTGATTTTTTAAAATTATTTATAATCAGTGGCTGCCGATTTAACATCTAAACTTTTTATTTTGGTTTTATGTGGGTTAATTGGTATGCTAAAGGATACCTATGTTGGCTGGACTTGGCTTCTTCACTATTGGGATTGCATTCCAAATTGGTTATTGAACTCATAGTCGTTACTATGCTGTCACAAATGCACACACAAAGGCTTACAGATTTCACACACATTTATTTATTTATTCTTGATATCTTAAAGGCTGTCACTTTAAATATAAATGGTACGGATGGAAAGTTTGTTGACTTTGTAATTATTTGGTTTCTTGCAACCATTAGAGATTTTTTTTTTGGGGTTGTTTTGTAATAATGATATCTACAGATTATGGATAATGTCCAAATACATAATCAAGCAGCTGAAGTAGAGAGGAACACTTCCAAAAAGATACACAATCAAACCACAGAGCAGCACCAGGAACCAGAGGGAAGTGGACAGGAAGAAAGCAGCAACCTTTCTCCAGTTCCAGCTTTAGAAACCGACCCTATAGCAAAAGCTGCAACACTTCATGAGGAATCAAGACTGACATCATGTTTAGCTTCGGAAATTCATTTTCCCAAGTCTAAAAGGAAGAGAGGAGAGCGTAAAGCTGGTTCGGGTGGTTGGAACCGGTGATACTCAGTTGGGCTCTATAGTCAGTGAGTTTCAGAAATTTGTCAGTTATAGACTATCTTATATAGTTTTCTGAGAATTGCAAATTTGTGATAAATAGTGGAAATTGTAGTCTGTAGATTTTAGACATTGGGAATAATACCTTGGTCTATTTTTATTTATAAAATGGTTTCTTAGATACAATTGGCTAAGTTTTGAGTAGAGTGACGGCAACACTTCACTTCATGTTACGCTTGCATAGGCATTGGTTTGCTGCTGCATGTGAGGAAATAATTAGGGCTCAAGTTGTTCGATCAACCATTCTTGTTACTTTTGTAGCCTCTATACATGTATTAGCAAATATTTGTGACGCATGGAGTTTGAGGTCCATGTCCGCGACATGTGATGCTTTATCAATACTTTTAAGTGTCTTATTAGTTTCTAGTTAATGTGTTTATGAGTTATTGATATTATATATAGCTTATTAATATAGTTTGGAAGTTGTGTTTGGCTGTCTAGTAGGTTGAAAAGTTGTTTAGGTAATTTGAAAGGTTTTTTTGTCTAGAAATTTGAAAGGTTTTTTTTGGAAGTTATTTAGAATTTAATAGGATTCTTGGATGAAAACAGTGTTTGTAATGATACATGTATACTAGTGCATGCCTGCACAGTGTAAATAAAATAAGTAAGCAAAAAGGAGAAAAATAAAAGAAAATAAAGAAATAGGAAAGAAAATAAAAAAAGGGGGAAAAATTAAAAAAAAATGAAACAGGAAGGAAGGTGGGCGAGAGAGAGAGAGAGAGAGATTGCATGAGTGAACAAAGAGGGGGAAAAATAAGGTGGGTGAGTGAGAATTAAAGAAATCTTGACCCTTAATGAATTTGGAAATTAATCTCAACTCTCAAAATAAATTGTATCTCTAAGATATTTTGACATATTTTAAAAAACTCTCCTGTTTTATTATACATATATATGTGTGTGTGTGCGCGAGCGCGAATAAGATCAGAAGTATGTTTTTGAGATTATAAAAAATATTTTTCTGCAAATTTCTTTTGCTTAGTGAGTCCTCCTACTATCAATTGTGCATCATCATTGTGTTGAATGTCATCCGTGATTAGCAATGTTGCATGTTCATTGCCCTTGGTGAGTGGCATCCCAGGACCATCCCCTATATTGGGGAAATTCTATTTCCACACACTAAATTATCTCTGTGTACATCTTTTCTCAATCCACACATTTATGGTGTGTTTGGTTAGGGGATTTGGGGAGGGATTTAGAAAGGGAAAGGAAAAAGGTGTGTGAAACTATGTGAAATGTAAGTATATTTTATTCACATTTCACCTAACTTTTCCTTTTCCCTTTCCAAATCCCTCCTCAAATCCCCCAACCAAACACAGCGTTAGTGATTTGATTTTTACTTCTTTATCTCAATCGACACACTTCACATTCTAAATATACTCTCACATTTTCTGTGCACATCCTCTCCTTCCATCATTTTTCATTTCAAAAACCTTAATCCTAACTACACCAGCTACCGGCGACTGCGACAAGGATGACATCAACTCCAAAACCCTTAATCCAAATATACCTTTACCTTCTCTGTCCAGAAAGTCTCATTGAAGAATGTAGTTCACTTCAAAAATCCAATAGAGAGCTAACAAAAAAAAAAAAAATTGAATTGCAAGAGTGTTGTACTGTTTTGGAAGTGGAACTCAAGGAATCGTGAAATAAATTCTTGAACTGCTTGGAAAAGATAGAAGATTTAGATGCAAAATTTTCTGCAATTCTTGAGGAAATTGCCTCGAAAGAGAAAATCTGAATTTCAGAACTTGATGCGCTCCGTCAACAAAATGAAGAATATAAAGAGAAACTTGCTGTGAAGGATAGTTTGTTTACTCTTATTTAGTCGGGGAAGGCAGCTGAAGTTGAAAACCATCAAGGGGTAGCAGACCTCACTGGTCAGATTCCTGAAGCTGATCTTGAAGAAGTCCAAGGAAATTTTAAGTTTTCTCATAAGAAGCTTGAGATCACCCACATGATGAATGAGCTTGCTGCTTCCAAAGAAAATCATGAAATTCTGGTGGACAACGAAGCGATGGCCGGCGTTGACCGGCGGTGAAGTGGTTGGTGAGATGTGTATGGAGAAATTGTGAGATGTGTGGGTGAGATGGTGGTGGGTGAAATGGTAATTTTGTTAAAGGATAAAATTGTGATTCTGAAAAAATTCATTAAGTGTGTGGAGTAAGAAAATTTGATGTGTGGAAATAGAACTTCCCCCTATATTGGTCGAAACATCTTGCTTTGGCCACCCTCGTAAGTTTCAGCTTGCATCACAAAGTAGTTGAGCGACTGACAATATCTTATTTATTATTATGATGAGGAACTCATCAAGATCTACATTGGATCCATTTGTACAAGAATAATGTTATAGACACTAATTAGTGTACACACTAATGTACCAACAGATGTTATAGGCACTAATTAGTGTACACACTAATGTACCAACAGATAACGTGACATAATTTTAGAGGATTTGGATATTTGTAACTTATATAATAAATAGGGTCATTAATAATATCATAACACTAGTTGGTATACTAGTGTGCACACTAATTAGTGCATGTTACAACCACCTACAAAATACCGTTTTTAAGTAAGACAATGCGTTGTGAGTGGTAGTCAAACTCAAGACTTCTGTGATTGGTCCCAAGCATTCCTTAAACCATTGGACTACCTCGGCTGGTCACAATTTGAGTTAACCTCCTCAAAGGCAAAAATCAGTTTCCATTTCAAGTTATTTGGTGTCAATGAATACCTATAATCCTGAAAAAGAGTTTTTATTTATTTATTTATTATTGTTATATTATTAATTTTATTCTCAAAGTTACTCTGTCCCTGAATTAGTTAATGTTATTCCTTGCATTGACTGAATTTGCTAGTTCTGTATTCATTCTAGTCAGGTGTTGAAGAGCTGCAATGGTTTGAAATTTGTGGGAACATGTAAATAATATTTAGGTAAATTACACTAACCTACTTGAAATTTAAAAAAATACATTGAGTCTCACAAGATTAGTATAATTACATTAAGTTCCCACGAAATTTTAATTCATATAACACTTAACTCTCTTTTTATTTGTAATTCGTTAGTTGTATAGATAAAAAATTGATAATGACATATTTTTTTCTTAACTTTTCAAATGTATAAATTAAATCATTAAAAAATTAAAAAATTGCAAGCAATGACTATAGATCTTTACAAAGCAAAACTTGGTGGTCTATCACAAATCAAAAGTTTATGGAAAGAAAACAATTATCAATTCAAAAAGCTGAACAGTATCATGTGATCCAAGTTGCTTTGATGAGTACATTGATAAGAATGACAGGGTTCACTGGTTTGTTCAGAAATTAAACAAATAAAGAAGCAGAGATTTTGATCCTCCATGATTAATTCTTCTAGTCACAAGAAGCAGGGCAGGCTTTTTGCTACACGTCTAGATTAGTGTCCCAACTGTTCTTAAATTGCTCACAATCATTAGATAAAAAAGGAACCAAAACATGATTACAAAGCTTGGTCATTTTATTATATAGTTTCCATATTCCCTTTATTCCAACAAATGATGGTGGAAGGGACTAATGCTTATGGTGGCTCAAGCAATATTATATAGTTTCCATTCCCTTTATTCCACTAAATGATGGTGCAAGGGACTAGTGCTTATGGTGGCTTAGCTTAGGTGTTTGCTTTGGCTAAGATACAAAAAAAAATTTTAAAAAAAAAAATGTCAAAAAATATCCAGATTCTAAAATACTTATCATTGAATTCAAAATACTTTTTATAAATTTTAAAACATTTTATAATATTTTTACATTTTCTCAATATACTTTTTTACATTTGTTAGCATTTGTCAAAATTAAAATTAGAACAAAAAAAGTTGTTTTGATTTTGAATGTTATTAATTTTAATTAAATAAATACAGTATAAAATAAACTACATTGTAAAAAGTTATAAAAGGTCCCAATTAAAATTTTCATATTATTGAATTTTTTACTATTTTATATTTTCGAGTCATAATAAAATCTGATTCACTCCTATTATATTTTAGTTATTAGTATTTTTAAGTCAGGAATCAATCACAAGAACTAACCTACAACATTTTCTTGAGGTTATGTGAAGGTCATTTTAGTAATTTCATTAAACGGGCTTTTTTTCACACTAACTCATTTGGGAAGTGTGTATTTTAGCTTAAAAGTTAAAAAGTCATTAAAAAATAGAAAAGACAACAAATTATACAAAAAATAAAAAAAATTATTTTCTCTCTATTTTTGCACATATTTTTGTAAAAAATAAAAAAATCATCCTAAACATTTTTTTGTCTCATATTTTAGCTAAAAATAAAAAAGTTGCCAAAATAATTTGTTCCTATCAATCAGATGGAATAATTCTTGCATGTCAAAGCAAAAGGAGAGTATGTAATAAAGAAAGAAAGAAGAAAATTAAAGAAAAAGAAAGGCAATTGCCAACGAATCTTGCAGAGTCACAAATTGAAGGAAAAGGGTTCTCTCATCACTCACTCACTCATTTACTCTCCTACCCACATGAACTCCCTTTCCCTGTTCTTCCTCCACCTTCCTCCTTCTTTCTGACTTGCACTGTTTTGTTTTGCTGTTCATGCCAGATCCAAAGAGTTCATCACAAACAAGGTACTCTCTCTCTCTCTCTCTCTCTGTGATTTGTTAATAAACCATCTTGTGCAGAGTTTGGTCATTTTCCTTTTGTAATTGCCATAGCCAACTCTATGACTTTACTACTATAATTCACACATAATGCCTCTCCCTATATTCACATCTAGTTTGGTCTTTTATTTTTACTTTTTAGTGTCATGCAAGCTAATGTAGTTGATGATAATGAAAGTACAATGGGCTTGTTAGGTGTTATTTTTTTCTGAAAGACAATCAGAAAATCGAAGTTAAAAATGACCCTTTTCATAGTTTTTAAATAAATAAATAAATTTTTAATCTTGTTAAAGCTATTTTTATTTTATAAAAGTTACATCAAACACTCTTCACTTTAAAATAAACCTTAAAAAAAGATGTAACAAGGTGCATCAAACAATCCCGATATGAATTAGATGTTCTTCTCAATACTACCGATCTTACAAAATCGATCATGTGGGCTAGTTGGGAAGAGGTGATTCGTAGAGAAAACAATTGTTGAGAGATAGATACTATTATTTGGTCAAGACGAACGAGTGACTGTGAAACATGCCCTGGAGGAGGTGGGGCTTAGGGCTCAAAATTCCATTTATGGTGAGCCCATCACTTAGACATTTGAGTTTTTATAAAAGTAGCCATTTGCTACAAGAAAAATATTTAGTAATCTGAATTTGTATGGTCAAAATGGTTCAAATGTATTAAAACGACGTCAGTTTACCCTTAAAATAATGTTATTTCGAGACATTCGAACCATTCGATTCCTGAAAATTCAGATTATCAAACATCGTTGTTACTACAATATAAATATAAAGATGTTTGGTACAATTTAAATAAACTACTAAAATTTCTCTCTCTTTCTTTCTTTTTTCTCTTTTCAGTTGTTGAAATTTGTGTTGATTGTTTATGAAACTTTTATTTACAATTTATGAGATAAAATAGCTTAAACAATTACAATTTTTAATTTATTTATTATTGGAAGAGTACTTCTATAGATTCAGCTTTTAAATGTTACAAACAAGGGGTAATGATATATCCCACTAAAAGTGGTACTCTAAAGCACCACTAATGAGTTGGCAAGCACTTTAACTAAAAAAAAAAAAAAACACAAGACACAAGCAGTGGGTCCCGTCCACTGCCACATCACTAGTGGTGCTTTTAGAGCACCACTTTTAGTGGTCTCAAGCATTATTGTACAAACAAGTGTTTCCAAAACCTTCTTTAGTCAAATGGCATTCTCGAAGATTTTTTTTCCTTCTAGAATAAAAGTCTTCTTATATATTTATTTATTATTTTCCTTTTACGCATAAATTTGACACAAATTTTTTTAGAAAGATGGTTAAAAGTTAAAAATCAATTTTTAATTTATTTTGGATCACATTATTATCTTTCTACTTTTTTACACGTTTTTTTTTTTAAAAAGTCAAAAAAAATTAAAAAGTAAGTTTTTAACCAATTTTCCAAAACAACTATAATGCATTGCATTTAGAATATTTACGTTATTTTATTTTATTTTATTTTTTATTTATCAGAAGTCTATATAATTTACCAGAATATAATATGGTTGAATTTTTCAAAGACACTCCAATTTTCTATTCTTCAAAAATTAGAGAAAGTGGGGGGTATGTAGGAATTTAGGATTAGTTAAATCTTTGCTTTCATAAGGTTAGTTTCTTATATGCCTAGTTTTGTCCACATCAAATTACTATGGCTTGGTTTGTGATGTGAGTTGAATTTTGATTTTTTTATTATTTAGTTTGGAGCTATAAGACTTATTTGGAATGAGTTTTTTTATTTTTTTATTTTTGTGAAAGAAAAAATAAAATGATTATAATTTAGATATGAAATTTTATTTTATTAATTTTTTAACATATTTTATCTTTGGGGGATGCACCAATAAATCCCAAATTAATAACTTATACACTGTTTAGTCCTAAAAGTTTTCTTATAGACTGAAAGGTCCCATTACAATGTTTCAAACATCAGATTAATGTTTCGAACATTAGATTTCGAACATCAGATTAATGTTTCAAACATTAGATTGATGTGCAAATGGGACTAAATGGAGCATAAGAAAACTTTTAAGACTAAATGGTTCAACTTTTCAGAAACTAGGACTTATGGGTAAATTTTCCTTTATTTTTTTATAATATTTTAATGCAAACCATTTAAAGGCCATGGACCTTTCACCGCCGGTTGTTTTAGGGCACTACTTTGTGGACCAAATTTCGATCTATAAACCGACTGAAATGGCCTCATTTTATTGGGCAATGATGTACCTAACCAAAACGAAACAATTCAATCACTTTCGACCAAACCTTGGCCCATCAATGATTTTCCTATTTTCTATAGTGCATGAAAAAGTAAATACATGGCATGTCACATCTTGAATATATTCCATTTGAATATCTAAAAAACGAAAAGACAAAAAATTGAAAATAATTTTTTTTCTTTCTTTTTGGAATCTTTAGCACAATTCAGATATTTATGCTCGATCCAATACTTAAATAAATAGATATATTTAAGCAGAATTTACTTAAAAAGTGATTGTTTCCTCATAATATTTTATTTCATAATCCACGAATCAATTTAATTAATGTTTTTTCTACCTAATACATGCAAAGAAGCATATTCATGATATCAATCTATTATGCAGTAGGAAGCCTTGGTATCAAAGAGCAATGGAGATGGCCACTCTATGGAAAACCATTTCCAAATCCCCGGAAATTCCCCGTCCGAATGCAACAACATGGAAAACCATTTCCAAATCAACCGAGGTTTCAACCACAAATTCCACCAAACAGAAACTAAGAAAATGCACCTCTCTAAAAGTTGCCACCTCGTTCACACGAGTTTGTTTATGTGCACCAATCTCTTCCTACACCGAGGTTTTCCAATCCGATATACCTCCGAGAAGAAGCAATAGTTATCCAAGATCAAAGCAATTGCCTACCCAACAAGAAAGAATTCCAAGCGCGAGAGTTAGCATAGAAGGGAGGAGAATTTTCCGGGGAAAATCTTTGACGGACGATGTTTTAATGAGGAGATTTGTGGTGGAAGAGGAGGCAATGATGCAAGTTAGGAGGCGGAATCAGATGGAGATAATTAGGAGGAAAGCTTCCATGAGAAGGAAAATGCTTGGGCCGAGCCCTCTTAGTAGAATGGTTTTGGCTGAGGAGGAATAATGGTTTTCCTTGTGTCCAAACAAGAAATTGAAATTTTTCCCTCCTTTTTATTGGCATATGGTTTGTGGTTTTCTATTATCTTGATTTTCCATGATATTGGTACCAAAAATGAATTGAATTGAATATTTTATAATATGGTTAAGTTGGTTATTTGATTAAGACATGTATATATTAGGGTGAATTAAATTAACGGTTCCTGTAGTGGTTCCTAACATTTCAATTGTAATATATTTGATTATAAGTTTTGAATCTCATTCTAAATAAAAATAATTGAATACACTATTGCTCCATTTTAAGAGCAAAGTCATTAATTTGATAAAATATAAACTAGTTTAATAAACATAAATGTCAAAATATTATTTTTGAACTTTTAAAAATTATTTCTACCTATTAAAGATAAAATTATATAAAAATAATAAATCTTTTACATATTTATTTATTTTTTATTTTTTTACTAAATTAATTTTTAGTATACGTTTGAATGATTATCGTGTAGTGGGTTGTATTTGTTGATGTTTTTGAATGGTTGTCATGAAATAAATAGTTGTATTTGTTATTAATAGATATTTTTAGATGATTATCATGTAATAAATGGTTATTAGGATAATAATGTGTAATCAATATGTTTAATATATGAAATGTTTTTAGTTTTAGATTTTTTGATTTAATAATTATACCAAAATTGTAGTCATGTTTGACTTTTGAAAAAAAATAAATTAATTTAATAAAAATAAATATAAATATAAAAAAAAATTATTTCTACCATCCCAAAAGATAAAATTACATAAAAATGATGTGTTTTTAATTTTTTTTCACCAATTTAATTTTAGTTACTTAGAAATTTTTTTTGAAAATAGATTCTGAACACCAAATCAAACAAAACTTTATAACCAAAAAAGTTCCGACATTGTTCATTAAAAAAAAGTTACTGTATTACATTTCAAACAACATACAAGTTGGGCAACGCAAAACAAGTTGTATGACAATTTTGCTCTTAAAATAGGTGTTGGCAAATGAAACATTTTTTATTGTTCTTATTTGAAATATGATTCAAAATTTTAGGTCAAGTATATCACAATTAAAAAGTTATGAACCAAATTAATACAACTCCAAAACTATAGAGACTGTTTAGTGTAATTCGCCTTATATATTAATAAATAGGAATAAGTGTTCAATGTCTTGTTTGATATCGTTTTTAAAATTTTCATGTTCACCTTTGTGGTTTTTTTTATAAATAAAAACAGTTTTTTTAGATTTGAAATAAAAATAGTTAAACGTTTGGAACCACCTATCATTAATAATTTGTATTTTTATGAGAAAATAATTTAAGAAAAGTGAGAATTTATTCCTAGTTTAAAAATTATGAATGAGACTGTGAATCTCATAATAGTGGACTCTATTATGGTGTTTATAATCTCTTTCATAATTTTAAATTGGACAATTCAACCAATGCAAGAGTCACAATTTTTGAACTGAATAATTCAACCAATTAGAGAAAAACTCAATCCTTATAAGAATATGCAAAAACTCATGTATGCAAATCATAAAGGTAAGGGCAATGGTAGAGGGCCACAATTTTTGTGGCTCAAATGGCTCAAAACTGTCAAAACGACGTCGTTTTGAGCACAAAACATGCCAAGACGACGTCGTTTTGACAGTTTTGAGCCATTTGAGCTAGGGGTGAGCAGCGGATATACCGATCTGCCAAAACCGACCGAACCGAACCGATCCGTCGCATTTTTGACGGATGCGTCATGACGAGCAGACGGTTGCGGATTGATTTTCTCCAATCCGCCAATTTGGCGGACGGATGGCGGATTTGAGGTTCCTTTGGCCGCAACCGAACCGCCAAACCGCGAGCACTCTTAGTAATTTATAAGACTTTGTGTTTTCAATTTGTTTAAATATTTTGTTTGTGTTTTCAATTGAAAAAGAGTTCAAATATTCTGTTGAAAAAAAGTTTTCAACTTGAATATATTTTTTGAATTGAAAAAAATAAACGTATTATTTATCTATATTTTTTGGTTTTTAAATCTAACTCTAAAGGTAATAAATAGAAAATATAACATATGCTGGTTGGTTTTTGTTTTCAAAAATATATATAAATGTAACAATACAAAGACATACAATCTCTACTATTGCTCTGTTCATGGTTGTGGTGGTTTGAATTGTTTTTATATTTTAAAAATCACAGATTGTAATATTTTATGTGGGTAAGGCATGCTGTGATTGTAATATGTGGATGAGACATGTAGTGATTGTGATATTCTAAAATTTCAAACTTTCTTTCTTTGGATGATGCATGCAGTAATTGTAATACTTTCTAAAATTATTGACTGTAATACTTTCTTTCTTTTTTTTTTGAGGTTATGCACAAGTTGAACTATGTTGAAAATTTATAAAATTTCAAACCACCAACCCGATTCGCATCCATCCACCAAACTGCCAATCCGCTCAATCCACATCTGCCGAATTAGCAGACGGATGCGGATTGATTTTCTCCAATTCGCCAATCTGGCGGTCGGATGGCGGATTGAAGGTTTTGTGGCCGCAATCGACTCGCGCCCACCCCTAATTTGAGCCACAAAAATTATGGCCCTCAAACATTATTCTAAAAAGTAAATCTATGCAGCTGAATCTTGGTAAGCTAACAGATAGGAAATCTTTGACTTTAATGGGGATAGTTAAAACTCCCTCTTTTGGACGGGGCAATGCTGTGACCCCTGCTGTGTTTGTTGCTGTGCCTAATACGGCACTGTTTCACTATTTTATTTCGTTTTATTTTATTTTTCACATCCTATTCTCACATCCTATTCTCACAGTTTGGGTATGGTTAAATTTGTATTTTACTTTATGTAATATCATTTAATTGAGTAAAAAAATATGTAAAATAAAATTTTAGGCTCAATATGATATTTTTGATTTGTAATTTTTGTAGGGGAAATTTTTTTCAAAATTTAAGTCTTATAACAAAATAAATAATGAGCTTTCAAATTTATCAATTTAAACTCTAAATTTTTTATTTATTTTTAATCTAAACTATTTGTCTATTTTCATTAAGTAAAAGCAATGATTTTTTTTTTAATCATTAAACTTAATGAAAAATGATATTTTAGACATTTTATATATACTTATATTGAGTTTAATAATTAAAATATTTTTTCCTTTGGTTTTACTTAACAAAAAAAGCAAATGGTTTAGATTCAAAATAGAAAAATTTACCTATAAATTTCATATTCAGGAATGGTGATTCATTTAGTCCCAAAAGTTTTATTATAGACTAATTAGAAACATTGATTTTGGAAAATGAGACTTAATATATTATTTGAAAATTAGATTTACGGTTATACTCTTATTTTTATTTTTATTTTTTTATTTTTTAAATGCTAGAATGGTAAGATACACAATCTATGAAAATCAAATTTATGATTAATTTTTTTATGAGAATCTTTTTCATTTGGAAGGACTTGAAATGTGAAAATTTTCAAATATATTTCAAAAGTACTATAAATGATTTGAAATATGGGATTTTTTAAACATTTCAAAATGAATACAAAAACTCATTAGGAAGTTTGGAGCAAACGTATAATTTAAACTGTAACATTCCAATATAGCACTCAAACGTAACATTCTAATGTAAGACTTCAAAAAAACTCTTTAGTATACTTTTTCCAACTGTAACACTCAAATGAAACACATATTCCAATATAGCACTCAAACGTAACATTCTAATGTAAGACTTCAAAAAAACTCTTTAGTATACTTTTTTCAAATGTAACACTCAAATGAAACACTCTAAAAAAAAACTCCTTAATATATTTTTTTTCCAAACATAACACTCAAATGTAAGACTTTCAAAAAACTCGTTAGTATACTTTTTTTTTCCTCCCCAAACGTAACACTCAAATATAACACTTAAAAGAAAAAGACCCTCAATGTAATACTCCAATGTAAGATTTCAAAAAAACTCCTTAGTATACTTTTTTTAAATATAACACTGAAAAAAAAAAAAAGCTTAGTGTAACACTCCAACATAACACACAAAAAAACTGTTTAGTGTATTTTTTTCGAACGTAACACTCCAAAAAAAAGATGTGGGATTCTTCGAACCATTTGAAAAGGAGTACAAAAATTTCGTAGTAAGTTTTGGACAAATGTATAATTTTAAACTGTGAGTATTACGTTTGTAAAAAGTACACTAATAAGTTTTTTAGTATTTTTGTGTGTTACATTGGAGTGTTACGTTTGGAAAAAGTACACTATGGAGTTTTTTTTGTATATGTTATATTGGAGTGTTACGTTTGGGATTACATTGATTAGAGTGTTACGTTTGGAAAAAATACACTAATGAGTTTTTTGTGTGTGTTACATTGGAGTGTTACGTTTGGAATTACATTGATTGGAGTATGACATTTGAGAAAAGTACACTAAGGAGTTTTTTTGTGTATTACATTAGAGTGTTACGTTTGTGAAAAGTTTAGAATGTTATATTGTTACGTTTGGAAAAAGTACACCAAGAAATTTTTTAGTGTGTTATATTGGAGTGTTACGTTGGAGTGTTACATTCTTCTTCATAATGTGAGATTTGTTTCAGAAAGAAGAAAAATCCAAAACCTGTATAGTGCAGATTGTCCAAATGTGTAATTTCACATTTGGAGAAACACATTTTTATCCTTAAAAAATTAAACTTAAACGTATAAGTGACTACTCACTTGTGTAATTTCCACTTTAATGAGACTTTTGGGTTCATAAGAAAAAAGAGAAAACTAAACAGTTCACAAGATCATATTTTAAGATTTATTGGTGCTTTATCCTTGAAAATAAATAAAAAAAATTAAGATTCAAATTGAAAAAATTGAAAATTGAAAATTTATGATTTATTTTGTTGAAAGGTCCAAACCATTAGTTTTTTATTTTGTAATTGTCCCATTAATTTATTTATTATTTTGGAGGCAATTTGCCAAACCAAAATAAAAAGGGTAGACGTGCCCCTTCCATTTGATTACGCCCTTACTTAGGGTTTAAATTGATAAAATTAAAAGTTCACGATTTATTTTGTTACAAGAGTCAAACTTGGAAGTTTTTTTTTCTATATATAATTTTTCCTTAAAAAAATATCATATTGGGCTTAAAATTTTATTTTACATATTTTTTATTCAGTTAAATGAGATTACATAAAATAAAATAAATTTTTAAGCATATCATAACATCTGTGAATTAAAATAACCTTAAATTAATATGAGTGATGA